GCGGTGCGCGCAAGCGTTTACAATTAGAGGGTACTGCCTGTCCAGATAGTACAAGAATGGAGCGAGCGGGGCTGAAGCTGAGGGGACTGGGGGCGTTCAAAACAGGGTTCAACGGTTCAACCGTCCCCTCTCTCTCTCTCTCACTCTCTGGCTCTCTCTCGCTCTCTGGGTTTGAAGGTGTGTCAAATTTTGCATCTATGTGCCTCTGCAGGATAGCCAGCTTCCGCGAGCGGAACGTTTTTGCAGATATCTATGTGCTTCTGGTAGTTGCAGTACCTGAACTCCAACGCGCTTACCAAGTGCTCGCCAACTATGCAGAGTGCTCCGCGCACTCGCCAACCCAATCACACCTTCCATCACTTCTTACTTTCGGATTGTTCTGGCCTCGCATCGGCACAATGCAGGTCACAATGCAGGTCACATGTGACGGCCCAAGCTGCCGCGATATCACCACTATGTCACTATGTGCTTCTTTCTATGTGCCAGACAAACAATCCGCTTCTGCGAAAGCATTCTCCACAGAAGCACATTCTCACTCCTCTGTGTGTTGCTGCACCTTGGGTCACCAGGGAAACATCCCGAAGTCCAAGTAGCATGTGAGTCATGTGCGGGCAAGCCACACTGGAGATAGGTCATGGTTCTCATTCAGGGACTTCTTGCAGACCTCATCGCCAACAGAGAACACTTGAAAGCGGAGGAGATGCCCCGTGCTGAGCCGTGCTAAGCCTTGCCTCATTAAGCTGACATCTCCCGGTGTCTCTGAGCTGCTGAGCTGCGAGCTGGGCACGGCACGCAGCGGTCCGGGCCAGCGGCCTTTGCTCGCTGTGCCCACGTCTGGGTGTCTGGATGCTGGTTGAACCTCGCGATGTTGCTGCCATTACCGCGATTCATACTGCGATTCATACTGCGATTCATACTGCGATTACTGCCGTTACTGCGATCACTCGGATCTCAGGGGTCCGAGCCATGTGGCTATGCAATCTCCGCAGAAGATGTGGGAACAGGTTGTCAGCTTTGGGACGCACCTTGCTCTGAAAGCTCGTGTCATCTCTGTTGCGCATCAGAAACTGCAGGCATCTGCAGGCTCAGGAGCTTGCCCTACCACGTAGATCTGGCAGATCTTGCAAATGAACCTCCGGTGTGACAATCTCGGGAAGTTCAGGAAGCTCTCAGGAAGCTCTCAGGAAGCTCTCAGGAAGCTCTCAGGAAGCTCTCAGGAAGTTCAAGGCTCATCAAGGCATATCAAGGCCCAAGCTCCTCGGCTTCCTGCACAAGCTGCTCCTCAGCTTTTCCCACGCACAGAAGCTTGAGCGCAGGAGCGCAGCTTGTGACACTGCAACTCGAGCTCAACTCGAGCTCAACTCGAGCTCAACTTGAGCTCCAGCCTCCATGACCTTGACCTGCGCGCTTCTCTGAGAAAAGTGCGCCCCCCCGCGACAGTCCCCACATGTCACCACACATCTAGAACAGGACACAATGACACAAGGACGGACACAAGAAATCAGAAAATCTGCCTCATCCAGCTCGAGCTGTTTCACCTCTACCGGCCCTGTCACGGCTCGCAAGTCTTGCTGTTTGGGCGTGCCAAATACGTGCCTAAAAAACCTCTCCCTGCATCCCGTGTAGCGCCGGCAGGGCCATGATGGCCATGGCCGTTGCCTTCGATGACGGTCTTGCCGACCTGAGACTTAGAGAGACTTAGAGAGACTTAGAGAGACTTAGAGAGACTTAGAGAGACTTAGGGACTCTCAGAGTCATGGTGAGTCATGGAGACCGAGGCGGCTCGGGGAGCACGCTCTACATACTACCTCGGATCTCGGGCTTGGGCAATGCTGGACTTGCTCACGATGCCTGGGGCAAGTCCAGAAAGGATCGAAACAAGGATCGTTGGCACGGGTGACTCAGTGGAAACTCGGCGAAGACTCGAAGACTTCCCCCGCCTGCGCCTTGAACCTGCGCAAAATATCAATGAGTCCGGGCTCCCTAGAGAAAGCACCACTGTTCCATGCTCCACAGGCCAAGGTGCCCTCGACAATCTCAGACATTCTTGCGGTTCTTGCGGTATGGTGCTCACACAGAATGCCGGCCCGACAATTTTCAGCCAGACCCTCCCCCGCAGCCTCGGTGAACCAGGGAACTTTTCTGTCGTGTGCTACGGAGTACTTTTTCAGTCTTTCACACAAAAAAAGTGCAGGTGCCGGAGGTACAAACTTAAAACTTGGGCAGAAACATGCGGAAATCTGCATGCAAACACTTTCGCTCGGTCCGGGACAAGCAGACCAGGATCTCCCCTTCCCATCCCTTCCCCCCACCCCAAAGCATGAGAAAGGACTTCCAATCCGACACAAGCAGCATGAAAACAGGCCGCCAAGTGTAGCACACTGCACTCTGGAAACCCTCCATGAGTCGTGCCCAATGATCAGGGCTTGAAACACGGCAGCACTTGAATGCCACAGGGCGCATCACTCCCCCAAGTTCCCACCAGGAGCCTCGGTTTGGTGTGGATCTGCCGGTTAGTTTGCCGCGGGGTCCATTGGAGGGTACACGATTGCTCAAGCGTTGCGTATAGCCGTATAGCATCCTTACGCGTGGCACTGGCAGCAGTACATTCGGGCGCGTGACCAACTGGTGTTCCCTACTGCTGGAGGCTTGAAGGGGCAAAATGCTTTGAAGGCTTATATGATACATGCAAAGCCATGGTTGTTTGGATGGCCCCACGTGATAATGGTCGGCCGTCGGGCAAGCCCCCGACACCCGCACGAGTCTCCAGCGTCCTGAGGCCAGGCAAGTGCACGAAGAAACGCAGCTGGCGAGAATGGTCTGTCAGGTCAAAAACTGGGCGGTAGGCGACTACATCTGTGATGTGAAGACAATGTGGAATGTGGGGCAGCTCAACATCCCGCGCGTTCTGACACTGGAGCGTGAATCCCAGTTGTTGGCCGGGCGCTGGCACTCCTGGAACAACAGGGGTGATCTCCAGCACCAGCCTCACATGCTGAATTTTCAGGCAGAACAGGGAGCAACTCGGCCTTTTCAACCTCTGGACTGAGGCCGGCGGCTGAGGGGTGCAAGCACACTGCGCAAGGGAGTGTGGCGCTTGGAGCTGTCACCCCCACAAGGGCAGGTGGCGACCGGCAAACGCAGTCGAAGTTGGAGGAGGACCCGGAAGAAATGGGGTTCAAGGTGAGGCCGAGCGCTTCACAAGGGCGGGCGTGGAGCCAGCTCCCCGCACCAGGGTGCTGAAGTAGTTAAGGTGGGCACGTGCGAACTCTGTCTCAGCAGAGGCCCACAAGGGATGACAACTGCGCTGTCAAGGGAGGCAGAGAGCTGACTTTGGCCTGGAAGCGATGGCTGCGAAAACAGTCCGAGTCAGACACGGCCAAATCATACTGGGCAGCCGCTGCAGTCACGGCAGGCCAAGCCAAGCTGTAGTACGGACCAAGCTCCTGACACTTGCTGGCCGCGGACGAGATGGTGGCGAGCAGCACTGCAGCCCCACCCAACGACGTTCCAAGAGTGGCCTGTTCCCAAGCCGCCGCTTCATTTAGAGCAGGGGTATGACTCGCATGCTGTGAGGCACAATGTCGGAGGAGCATAAGAGCGACTTGAGGCATTTATTTAGCAGCCCTTCTCCACCACTTGCGCAGTGTGTTGTGCTGGCAGAAGGAGTCGGGGCCGATGGCAGCTCCTAACAGCTCAAAGGAGTGGGTGACCATCACGGGTATGCCGGAAGGGAACAGCAACATGTCAACATGTGAAGCCGCAGCTGGGTTGAGGACGAGGGGACTTTTGCTGGGCTCGAGACGCAACCCCGCGCGTCGAGCCGCAACGATAAGATCCCGGAGCCCGTGCACCAGCTTCCGAAGGAACAACGCGCTCCTACTTCTGAGGGCGCAGGAGCCGAACTAACCCACTCCGGCGCACCAAGCAAACGGTTCGACAGACACTCAGCTGGAGCAAGGCACGCTGGGCGAGGCCACTGGCCCTAGCCTGCCAGCTGAACCCCTGCGTTCGCCATGTCGGCTGCTTTGCAAGCCTCGAGTAGGTGGCTAGCACGAAAACGAACCGAACACCCTCTAAACCTCCTGAAACCTTCCTGCACTCATGGGATGCTTTGCACTTCCGCGGGGGCCCCGGCCCAAGCCCAAGCCCCTCCTTTTTGCCCCTGCAAGAGATGTTTGTCTGTGTCTATGCAAAGAGGCCAGCCCCCACTCACGCATCCGAGGAGGCGCGACCCGGACCCTCCAAAACTCGGACCGTCATTGCATGGCTTGCACACGCCATATGCCAAATTCAAGGAGAGCAGAGTTTGCATGTGCGTGCGCGCGACCCTTTGGGTGCCCCGTGATCTATAGCCTCTCTTGTTTCTATAAGCGCTAAGGCGGGGGAGGGGGGGAGGGCGCAGATTTTTTGGAAGCGACAAGGGGGCAGCTAGTCACGTCACGAACATTTGCCTGCGACTTATCTTCGCTATGATGCGTCGCCTCAGGGCTTAGGACTACACTCGCTTGATGAGCTTGTGTGTGGGCTTGGCAGCGCTTGGCGGCGCTTGGCGCTTGGCGCTTGTCAGTCAGATCTGAAAGGGAGACCATTGTGCGGCACAACAACTGCGTTACAAAATGCACCCACTTACTCTTTTGAAACCTGCACAGCAAATCAATCTTGCATGGAGCTGCCCATCTGGCACACAACCCTTCACGTCATGGCCATTCCGATCCTTCTTTTCGGCTTTGGCTTTGGCTTTCTTGTCCTTGAACGTACGAGGGTACGACAGCATCGTCCTGTAGATGAAAGTATTTAGGCCTCTTTCTTTTTCTTGTCTTTCTCCTTTTGTTTCTTGTGCGACTCCTGGCTCAGAAGCTGAACCTTGCAGCCTGGCATGTGCAGCTTGCCAAGGAACCCTGTCCTCTTTGCTTCCTGCAGGAGAGTCATCCTTGGACTCGTGGCTTTCAGTCCTAATACAGAGCAAATCCCCGGTCTCCCTTGCTAACCCAATCTCATCAATGCAGTACTTGTGGGTGCAAGGGCGTCCTCGCAGGAGCGACCTTCTCTTCAAACTCCGTCAAGTCCTGCCACTCGGGTCCCCAGCCGCTCGATTCCAAACTTCGATGTCAAATGATATCAGCAAACAAATGCAAACAACGAAGGTGCGGACAAAGCAATCGTACAGCGTCTCATCGTGAACTCCATCCGAGTCCTACACCAGATGCAGTGCTCATAGTTCTGCCATGCCAAGGACATGTCCATGCATGACATGCATGTGCCGCATGTCTTGATATCTTGCGCCGATGAGTCCTCTCCAGCATCAACGTAAAAGTCGATGCTATCTCGCACAACCTGCGCAAATATGGGCAATGCCCAGCAACAGACCAATAGACCAATAGACGAGACTTATCTAGCACTTCAGAGTTGCAGCCGGGCAACTGCCAAGTCGCTAATCTCAACTGCATCATTGTTGACGGCTCTCAAAAGCTGCTCCAGCTTCTTGATGTGCCATCGAGTCCTATGGCATCTTGACTATCCAAACCGACTCGGAGCATCTCGGAGCATCAGTGTATATTTTTAAGTGTGGCAGAATGAGGGAATGAGGCTACACAGTGGCCACACAGCGGTCACACAGTGGCCACACATGGCCACACCTGTCTTGGGCTGTCTGGAGCTTGGGCAGTCTCGACTTGTCGTCACTGCTCAAGGACCTGAAGCTCCGTATCACAAAATGCGCTCCGACACGTACTGCCAAGCTACTGCCAAGCTTGGGAGGCCTCTTTCCCTGCAGCAACTCCAAATCAGCCTGAACACAAGCATAGGCAAGCATAAGCTTGTGGCCGTGGATACGGCAAGCGCTTCAGATCCAAAATGTTCCACCCATGCCAGCGAGTTCACCTCGAACTGGTCCAGCTGGTCCTTGAGGGCCTGGATGGTCTGCGCCAACCTTGGCTTAGCGGCTCAGGGTCTGCTGTACTGTGGTGTACAATTCTGAATATGTCTCGTTGGCACACCTGCATGCTCGCCTTTCTGGGAGGGTGTGTCTTTCTGGGCACGAGGCCATTCCTGCGATTTCACCTTCTCGGCTTCTTCTAGGTCGAGCTCGTCTGTCTTGGCCTTAGAATTTGAATTGCAACAGAATGCGCCATGCACCTACTCGGGGTGTATGATCTCGTGGACTAGGCCCGAGACCAGCCCAGTGTAGGAGAAGGCCTTTGTCTTGAACTCTCTTTCAAAGTCCTGCAAGCAAAAGGGCTCGAAAGGTGTGACATGAAATATCGGCTCCATTTCAAAAATTCAAAGCTGTCCTTGAATCTCGCCATATCGCTTTCTATTCGCTTTCTGCCCTGGTGTCAACCACAGATAACCACAGTGGCAAGTGTGGCAAGTGTGGCAATGGTGGCAAGGCTGACAAGTTTGGCAAGTGGACACTGAGTTGGGTCTGCCACCAATTGCCTCTTCCAGCTTGTCTTTCAAAGGCGCTGGGACTTGAGGCGATCCCTGCAAACAATGGGAGGGGGGGGGCGGAGGGGGGGGAGGGGACTTGCAGTGCATGGGCTTCAAAAAATGCGGCTCGGCTCGCGCAGGCTCTTACGGGCTCTTGGGAGCCGGCAAGCCAGTCTCTCATCTGGGATCTGAGTCTTTGCTGCTTGTTGATGCACCTGCAGTATGCGCTTTGCACTGCTCGGCGCTGCACACTGCACAGCACGGCACAGCACGGCACAGCACAGCACTGCACTGCACAAGCGACGCCAGCAAAGAGCAAAACTAGCTTCCCTTGGGACTTGACATGCTCGACATGCTCAGCTCGCGGCTTCTTCAACTCCTCACCCAACCTTTCTTTCTGGGGCCCTTGTGCAGTTGCAATTTGCTCCCAAAACCTCAGACGAAAAAAACACGGCGTCAGCACACGCGATGGTTTCCGCGATGGTCTTCAGCCAAGGCACTCCGCAAACTCTTCAACACCCTCGTGGGCCTTCTTCAGGACCTGACAGCACCAAACCTTGCAACGCACGAATGCTTTCCGGATGCAGGTGTTGCATCTCAGGGCACTGCCACCTCTATGTCCTGGCAAGCTTGCGGACGCTGCTTTCAACAGACAGAGTTACATCAAATAAGCTTTCGCACCGGCAAGCCCGTACAACTACCTTCGCAAGTTTCCGCGCAGCAGGTGCCGCCATTACAACGTGGAGGCAACCACTGAAGAGCTATGAACACCTGCGACGACAGGTTTTGTCACCGTTGCAATATCACGCGCCGCAATCTGAGGCAGCGACAGGGAAGCAAGCTTGGGCCTGTCACTTGCTGAACAAACACAACTTTCATACTTTCATCTCGGCCGACCAATTTTTGTAAGTTCCTCACGAGGTGCAGGCTGGATCAGCAGCCCGTATGCGTCAATGTCGATTCACACTGGAGCCAATCGGAGAGCCAATGCATTATCGCGAGGAAGCGTGGGCCAGTGTTTGGGGGAGCGCGTTATATCTTTATGACTCTCTACGTTTCTCTGTGTTTCTCTGTGTCCCCCCATGTTCTTCTGTGTCTCTCTGTGTCGTTTTTGGGCAAACGGCACCTCATGAAGTAGCCTGGCAAGCACATATGCACCGCCACGTGCTGCACCTGATGTTTTCAGATCACAAGCGATGTACGGACCATTGAAAATTGTCAATGCACGCGAATATGAACGAACAAGAACGATTAATGGCTGCCTCCCAGCGTTTTTCTTGATGCATTTCGCGAACTCGTCTAGTGTGGGCTGTGTCTGTGATGACGGCCCCAAACGGAGCAACTCGTAGACTGTCGACAGTACTTTAAGCCTTTAAGCATTCGAACTAACCGAGATCACCAAAGCCAAGTGAGGTTTTGAACAGCAAACGTGGGCGGCAAATATGCGCACCACAACGGGGTTTTAAGCTACAACCCCGGCATTAAGACCAGCACAACCTGCGGGCAGTATCTGTGGGACCCTAAAATGCAACGTAACGTATATGTGATGGCAAGAACACTTGGTGTCGCCATGTCAGCTGCAAGCACGAGGCAGAGCGTCAGTAACCCATCTGCTCATATTCCATGCTCTATCGGCAGGAGTGGGCGGTGTGTGCAAAGGGCAGGGACGTGATTAGCACGAGCTGATGACTCGCGCTTGCTAGGGCTTCCTCGTTGAAGATCAATAATTGCAATGATCTATCCCCATCACGATGCATTTCAAAAAGAATACCTGGCCATTTCAGGCAAGATTGTAAACTCGTTGAGCGCATCAGCGTAGCGCGCGTGCAGCCCAGGACATCTAAGGGCATCACAGACCTGTTATTGCCGCAAACTTCCTTGCGTTAGGCACGCAAAGTCCCTCTACGAACTTGCCCATGTAACCGTGGTTACACATGTAGCTATTTGGCAGGCGTGGTGGCTTTCCGGGGCGTACTTGGTCTGCTCTTTGCATTAATCATAACGAGCCTGTCAAGGTACATTCGGATACAAACAATTGTCCAGGCACAATGACTTGCACAGTTGCAGTGCGCGATTTCACGGGCGGTGAAATTTGGCTACAATGTGAGGGTGGTGAGTTGGAACGCTGTTGACAGGCTGGTACTTCGGTGTATGGCAACCTTCATTGTACCATACACAAACCCAGGGTTTTTGACGCCTCCTTCTTGCATCAAGTTGAGCCTTGGGTGACCGGTCGTTGTTTGCTCACCGCGAGATGTTTGCATCAGCTGCCTGTTGCAGCCCTCTTGCTTTCCTGAATTTTCCCATTTCCAGAGGTCGCAGATATGGAGAGGCCGCTGTGGAAGATGTGTCACCTCCGGCGAATTTGCAATGGTCCTCCATAAATGTTGCCCTGCTTTGTGGCCAGGAAGTACTTTCGCACGTTTTGTGATCAGCTGCAGCTCCCTCATACATTGCTTCCTGCTTCCGGCCGCCAGAATGCCGCCTGGCCACGTGGCGAGCATCGTGATTGCCTGATGTGGGGTTGTCTCGGAGGGCTCTTTGGTCTTGCATTGTTGGAATGGCTACACTTCGCTTCAGTTGAGGACTGCATTTTTGCATTGCAGTTACTCCCATCCTTCCGAGGGCAAGTCGATTTGAAAATTTGCGGGTTGCGGCATGTGGAAGTTGCCCTTTTTTTCAGCATTTTATTTCAACGGGTTTTCTACAGCTTCCGCAAGGAGATAGTCGGCAGCACTTCATTTGCACAGCTCCCCCATGCTTCAGATGGGGTCTCTTAAGCCGGGAGCCGGTCCCAGGCTGTCGGAGAGGACTCCGTGTGAAGATCACAAGTGAAGATCACAAGTCACTTCAAGTCATTTCATTCTGTGGGGGGGAAACATGGATCCCATGCCATCTCTTCACAGCCATATCAAAGCTGCGCATAAGACTGTTCGTGTTCGGCCTCGTGATAGCGTGATAGAGGTTTATTGGGAGTACGCATCAGCACAGATGTTTCTTCTACAGTGTTTGTCCATTTGGCGCTACATTCGGTGCTCATTGGTTCGCAAGAACGGAAGGTCTTCTTCTTCGGGCGCTACACGTTTGATCTTCATGCAGCATATCCTTGCGCTATATGCGGATGACCTTCTGGGATTTCAGTTTGCACAAATTGCGCAGTTTTCTTTCCGCCTTACATTGGTCTGTTGTGCGACGTTCAATGTTCCACTGTCCTGGAAGAGCTGCAGTTGGGTTTTTGCATTCGCTGGATTGGCTGGGATTTGCATGTCCGGGCTGGGGCTGTCAAGATACCGCCCGAAAAACTACAAAAAACTGGCTTTATGCATTCGCGAGGCTTTGCGTGGTCCCAGGCATGCTGGAGTGGCTATTTGAGATGCTTCTATTGGCACCTGAAGGCCAAGGTCCTCATTCGTCACCATAGTGTGGTAAGCCTTAGTGAGAATTCATCTCCCTTCGCAACAATCGAGGAGTTGGTATCTGTCGCCAGACAAAGGTCTGGGAAAGGTTCTTTCCAAATCCAGCCATCCTATGAGCATAGACCTCAGAATGCCAGGTGCGGTAAGTTCAGTAACATGTCATCTGAACACGATGCCTGTATTAGTAGATGGTTACTACGCTGACGTCCGATGGCAGAGACATCCATGAGCCGGGAAACACAGATCCTGACACAACAGCCGCACTGAATGCATATGCGTCTGTGCAGGAGCAAACCGGCCAAGATGAGCTGTGTGAAGAGCACGCTGAAGCAGAGCATATAGCAGACGCCGCCCAAACAGCCCGCTTTACCACCTCCCAACAGGGTAAGGGTACGGACAAGCGCCAGGGCAAGGGCGCGGGCAAGGGCAAAGGCAAGGGGAAACCCTTTGGCAAGGGCAAAATGGTGCTGAGCCTGATAACCTATCGGTGGATGAGCTGACGCATACTGAGTATCCAGCGTACCAGAGGCCCATACTACCCCTATACGCTCCCGAATACGCTGAGGAATCAGACCAGCATGTCCGATATACCTCCCAGAGGGGCGAGTTCTCCATACTTATCCTGGCGAATATCTATGGCATCTATGGGGCCGTGAGCAAAAGTCACCGAGCAAAGGACTCGTGGAATTCTGTGATTGGGTTACAGAGGACTATACCGTCGAAGGCAACTTTCGTGACAAGGATGCCCCAATCCAGGTTACTGGGAGGGACCACTTGGTAAAGGTCCGCCCCCTCTACCTCCTGCCAAAAATGACATGCGACCATTGATGTCGTTGACGACAATGTGCCCCCTGCCCAGCCTTTGGCTGACGGAATCTGCTTCACAGGCACATCTATGCTGTTGGTGTCTGGGCAAGGCGCTTTTGACCTCCGACGCCACTTAGTGAGCCATAGAGCCCAGATCCGGTCTTGCACTAGTGCCCGTAGCATGATGTCTCAGCGGAAAGGGCAAAGGACGAGGTAGGGCAAACGCCAAGGCGTCCTCAATGGCGCCGCCGCCAGGGCCAAAGGCGGAGAACGCCTTCAGCCTTTCGAGTCTGGACATAGTCCAAAGACGAGAGACCGTTGCAGTGGGCAAAAACCATCCCGAAGACGATATGCTGTATAAGGCCCACGTGGGGTATGGGTTGTGGGAACTCCAGGAGAAGACGCCAGTAAGGTCTTTCTCGCCGTTAACATGAACCGGCATAGGTCCGTGGCGGCAGCATCTCTCGTCAAGGAATGTGTCGAGTACCCCAGAAATACTTGGCCAAAGATGGGCCAGAACAGCTGTTGGGGGGAATGTGATCCTTGCAGCGATTCATGCCCCCGTAGGAAGACTTTGTGCACAGTATCAGGGCAGGGACAGCCCTTGAGGCCTAGCAGCAGCTCGGTGGAATTCACGAGAACGATCCATTGAGGTGACGATGCCCTCGGCGATCTTCATCATCAGCCCGTAACCCCACCTCCGCAGTATCGGGCGGAGTCGACAAAGCAGAGAGCCCGGCCGCGGACCGGAGGAGAGTGGACAGCATGGAGAGCGCAGAACCATGACCACGAGGTGTACTTGAGATCCCACTTCGAGAAGATGACACCATTGGTTGCAGCATGAGGAAATCCCACATCATGTGGTGGAGCAGATGTATGCCCTCCTGAGCCCCAAGCAGCTTCCAGCCATGTGGATAGGGCCGTAAACCCCCGAAGAAAGCGGGCCACCCAGGATCTGAAGATATTTTTCCGGTTGTTTTTTCTTGCTTCTGCCGCGAATTGGGCACATCCTCAGGGCCCGGAAAACCGTTTTGCTCAGCAGCGTTTTTCTGCCTTCCGCCTGTTGAGATTCAGCAAGCAGCCCACATAGCAGTCCCACTACTCGCCAAACTCGCCCAACTCGCCCGCATCACTCACAGGGACCAAACCTTGCAACGCGCAACAGTGCACCAACTGGATCCCACCAACTCTCTTCTCAAGCGCAGCCCTGGACGAGGCCTGTCTTTACGTCTTTACCTTTCTCGGTACGGCGCTTGAAGAGCTGCTCACTCTCGGAGCTACTTTTTGGTTTGGGAGGGGGAACGCAGCGGCACGGCTTGAAAAAGGCCGAAGGGTTGGGACCGAACCCTCATGACAGCGCCGTTGCATATATCAAACTGCAGCAACGAAACATTGCAGATGCAACACAGGCACAGGAAATATGCAGCCAACATTCACCGGATCGCTTTTTCAAGCACAGCCACTAATTCTGTGGCAAAGCACCCGTCAAGCAGAACAGGTGCAGCACAGTGTCCGGTACACTGCAGGACCGGCTAATTTGGTGAAAGCCCATGCGAAGATAGCAGAGGCTATCTTAAAGGGGTTGTCCTACAATTGTCCTACAATGGCGCGGCGCTACAGTGACTACAGGAACGTGAGAAAGCCACGTGCCTGGTCGAAAAGGAGATCTCCTTTCACCCCGCCCAAGTCCAGAAACTCTCCTACCGTCTTGGCCTTCTTGTAGACCTGAACTCTCCGGATCATGCTGAATCATGCTGAATCATGCTCATTCTCGCGCACCGAACTTCGCCCCGGGCCTCGTAGCGCTTGTGCGCCTCGGAGCCCTTCGTCTTGGGGTTTGCCCAGACAAAGCGCAGCTTGCGCTTGCCATCCTTGCCATCACCATGGCCTCAAAAGGCGGCAATGAGAGCGCTGAAAAATGAGTTGCTCTTGTTCCGTTTCATGTCTCCTAATCGCTCTCCATTTTTCTTGGAGTTATCGCAAGTTTGAGACAAGACTCGTCTGGAACTCTCGGTTTGGCTTGCTCGGGTGCCTTTCTGGTCTTTCTGCTCGCCTTTCCGGTCGCCCTTGTCCCTGTAACCCTTGGTGCCACTGGCGTCGAGGCTAATGGGCTTGAAGCACCCTTAGCTGCAAAAGTGATCCGAGCTGAGGAAAACAGGTCCGCTTTTGAATGGAGGAACTTAAAATGTCCTCCTTAAAGCCTAAAGAGGGCAGGTCTTGATTTCCTGACTTCTTCTCTCACAAAGGGTCGACGGTTTGAGTCAGTGATGAGCTTGTGGAAGGCGAGCATGTCCGCATCTTCCCGAAAGGCCAAACCCGTGTTCTCTCCTTTGCACCACATCTCGCAGACCCGCAGCGATTGGTTTCCGGACCTCCTCTGCAAGACGACGCTGCTGCGTGGAGTCCTTGTCTTCTCTGTCTTTTTCCCTTTCAATGACTTCAGAAGGTAGACAACGTCCAAGTGGAACGGGCCTTTCGCCTTCTGCTGCAGGCACTCGTAAAGCCGCAGGATTTCGGCCCTGGAGCACAGCTCTGGGCCTCCACAATCTGGCACAGAAGGACACTTGCCTTTTTTACCTTGGCCGGGTGGCTTCCAGTGCTCGTCGCGCAGGACTTCTAGCGAGCCCTCGCCTTCGGCCACGGCCAGGACAAAGAGCGTCCGCACTTTGGAGTCCTTGGAGCCAAGGACTCGCCGCAGCCGCGCGACAGAGCGCCGGTAGGAGCCTCGGTCTCGTCGAGCGTTGCTGGCTTTCGGCCACAGCTGGTGGTGAGGGAAGACCACGTTCTTGGCCTTCGAACAACAGAGAGAAGTGCACCCCCGACTTTGCCATGAGAGGTCACTCTGGGGTTGGGCACTCTGGGGTTGTTCCAGGGATGATCGGGGGAGTAGGCGAGGAGAAGAGTTGAGGTCCAATTAAAATCTAACAACCCCACACCGAAGGTGGGGAAAAGCAACTCTGGGCCGACTTATCAAATGTGCACATATGTAGCAAGCTTAGCTCTTGAAGCCGCTTTTCCCCTTGTTTGCCCCGCCCCCCAAGATGGGCCCAAGAAGTGAGAGCATGGCATGGATTTGTTTGCCCCGTCCCCCAAGATGGGCCCAACCCGCCCCCCAAGATGGGCCCAAGAAGTGAGAGAATGGCCTGGACTTGTTTGCCCCGCCCCCCAAGATGGGCCCAAGAAGTGAGAGAATGGCCTGGACTTGTTTGCCCCGCCCTTCGCACAGCAGTATACTTTCTTGAACTGAATAAAAAGCTATAACAAAATGCTATAACGCTCATATTTTGTGAGGTTTTATGGGCCACCGGAAACCCAGATTTGCAGAATTGTCTGACTTCTAGGTGCTTGACCTTTACGGTAAAAATTATGGAGTCCGCCGAGGCCTCGAACCGAAGGTGTACAGATTGTGAGAACAGGCACCCCCCTCCAAATCCTCCCCCCGTCCGCACCGCCCGCCCTCCCCTACCCCCCCCCCCACCCCCCTACCCCCCCCTTACCAAAGCTCAACTGGAGTGAGCACGGCCGGGGATACGAGCCGAAGAGTCTAACCTTAAACTTGAAGCTCCAAACCCCTAAACCCCAAACCCCAAGCACTCAACCCTCAAACCCTCAAACCCTCAAACCCTCAAACCCTCAAACCCTCAAACCCTCAAACCCTCAAACCCTCAAACCCTCAAACCCTCAAACCCTCAAACCCTCAACCCTCAACCCTCATGCCTAGGCCCTCAACCTCAGCCACCCCTGCCCCCCCCCTTACCCCCCCTGCTTGAGGGGCATGGCTCGACTTTACGATCAGTCCAAGCCGAACCGTCTCAACCCTCAACCTTGAACCTTGAACCTTGAACCCTAAACCCAAAAAAACCACCGTGAACCTTGATCCCTAAGCCCTCAACCCTAAACTAACTCTCAACCCTAAACCCCAAACCATAATTGCTGCCAATGCCGCTCTCGAGCACTTGCCGACGTGTTGGCAGCATCCAGCTTTTTCTTGCATACGGCATACGGCCAATGTTTGTTAGAGAGCTTGGGTCAAAGCTGAGAGACAAGAAGACTGAAGCTGGAAACAAAAATCAGCCCACATCCCCCGCTCTGGACACGTTAGCTCTGCGAGTGGCCGAGAAAATCCTTAATTCAATCAGAGTAGAACCGAAAATTCAAACAGTTAAAGACACTGCACAGAAGCAGCCTTGCGACTGGCACAGATCGTGGCGGCTCACTCAACACAGGACAGGTGCAGGCTTTGCCATCAGCCTGTCGAACCCGCAGTTTGAGCCAGGGTGCCCAACTACGGCCGCTATTGGGCCCGGTCCCGGGAGGAAGAGCGTCAGTGACCGATAGCTTTAAGATTGTAGCAATGAACTCATAGGACATGTCTCAAGTCCCGGTGCTTCTGGAGCATCGCACTTGAGCAGTTTCCTGTAACGCTTGGCGCTTGAAGGCAGGTCCACCGGGGTTGGACTCCGACGGAATGTAGACCAGCCGCCGCCAAGGCGTGGGCAGCCACATTTCGCAAGACCCGGCGCAGTGCTCGGGAAGAGCTCCGACCCTTGCTGATGCTGCCGATGGCCGCTTTGGCATCCACCAAGCACGGTGATGGCGCCGGTTTGCACTTCGAGCCACCCACTTCACTGTGAGCAGAACACCATGGCACTCCAGCAGACTAGCATGACCAGCGTGTTGGGCTCGGTGAGAGACGAGGGCGGTGAAATCGTCCTGGGAGAACGGCAGCCTGTGAGGCTGGCCAAGCCGATCTTTTTCGGGCTATCATCAGGACCCTGCGCCAGTCTCCTCTTCTTTCAGCCAGCCTTCCAACTTGCTCGATGCACTTTCTTCCACACCGGAGTGAGCACACTCCGAAACCAAACTCCGCGCGCAAGCGTCGCACGCCAAGAGTTCCTGTAGAAACGGCCTGTCAAGGCCGCAAGCTAGCAGCGGTAGCAATGCCAAGGAAGTCAACAGCTCGTCTTGGACGCCTTGGGGACTGGCACTGCTTTCTTTTGTGGTTCTTGCCGCACGAAAGCATAAGCGCGGTCCAATATGCTCAACATGCCTCGCTGAAGCTGGAAGAACCATTGAAGCAGTCCCAGCGCACGAGCCAAACCTGCGGGCCTGCAGCGAGGTTTGCGTAGCAGGTCACAGAGTCCCGCAAAGCAGATGCGCCAACTTGCCACGAGAAGGTTGCACAAGTGGGGGATTGCTGCAGAGGTCGCAGCCCAAGCCTGTCATGCTGGTGTCCATTGACACGTCCTATGCCTTGTTGCGGGGAATGCCGCGTTTCTCGAAGGTCCGATCACGCGCGCGCAACGTCTTGGCAGCCTTTGACTGGCTCCGGTGGAACAACAGAGTGTCATCAGTGGCTATGAGGCAAAGCTCATCCTGCACTGATGGGAGGGGATGCTCCAGACTCAAGACGTTCTCCTCGCTGACACCTGCCTCAGTGACGCACCCCAGTGTGCAGCCTGTGCAACGCAAGAGGACCAGCTGAATCCCATAGGCCACACAGTGTTGACAGGAAACAGGTCCAAATCGTCCGCGAGTTCCGTCAAGGCAGGCAGGCCCAATCAGACAACAGCTCCCAGACATAGACGGGCTCCTGAGCGAACCACTCATGAAGATGCCTTGGCGCAGACAACGCATCAAAGTATGTGCTGGCATCGCGTTTCGACATGTACAGGGTTTCACCAGGTCGCACCACTATGTCGAGAAAAGAGGCCGGGTTGGCCAGGCGCATGGGCTTCGGAGGCTGGCTAGCCTGCTTCGATAAGCTGGACCCATCCCAAATTTTTCGCTGCTTGTCAGCCTTGCCAGACTTGGCGACAGCAAACACACGGGCGCAAGCGAAGCTTGCCACGCGCCAACTCGCACGCCACAAGCCGCACATATCCCTGCCTGTTGGGATTTCCACGCCAAGCCTCGTGCACTGAGGGCTCCACGCTAGTAGCCGTCGTGACCGGGAAGATGTTCATTGAATCCTGCACCTGGTGCCAGAGATCCGCAGGTAACAATCTCGCGGGCGGCACGTTCCTGCCTGTGCTGGAAGATCAACAGCATCACCACGGATCGGTTCGTACTTAGCAGCATTGTGCTGTTCGAGTAGCTTAGAGGCACCATCATACGGGAAGGCAGATCCAAGCTCGCAGTCTATGCGAGTGAGCATGGAAGCAACCCGGCCGCACACATGCTCCAGAACTGTGGATTGGGCTTTGGTGCTGCCGGCGAGCTGCCACCAGGGCACAATCCTCATGCTGCCTCATTCCCCCACTAAGATGGTTCAGCGCGCCAATGCAAAGATTGGCCAGAAGCATGTGCTGTTGCAAGCCGTCTTCAGGAACCACCACTGCCGAGGGCCAAGCGTGCACGCGAGGAAGTGGAAAAAGGTCCCCGCTTCGAGTCCTTGCTGCAACCTGGTGCAACCTGGCCCGGCCCGATATCATAGACCGAACAGCTCGCGCGCAAGGCCATTGGCGGGAGTGTACGCTTCGCTTCCAAAGCAGCCCGGAGCTTCAATGTCACAATGTGCCTTATCATCCGCCGCTTATTCCTGTATCGTCTGGCCAAGAAAAAGGTCCGCGGATCAACCCTGAAACTAGTACCAATCACCATGTCCATTCCACAAGGGCGGCAAGTGAGAGCGACAGCTCATCTCAGTTTTGACCCAGCAGACACCACCACTCCACGGGAGGAAGACATTGGGAGAACATTGCTGGGCTTGAGCATTGCAGTAGCGGGAGCCGCTTCAGCTGCGCATGCTCTCCCCCTGCGTTTCTGCTTGACCTCCAGTGTTACGCAGCGTGCACTTGGAACGCTCTTGCAGCAATAGCCTTATCAACCGTAAACCCGGAACCCTAAACCCTAAACCCAACCCTTGTTGCTTGGGGTCTAGCGACTTGGGCGCTGCGGAATCACCATGCTCGCGCGGATGCGCTGGGCCGGGCCGAGGCGGGTCGCGTAGCGCTAAAATTTTTCAACCTTTGTGACAATCTGGGCCTCCGACCCAGAAAACCCCAAAACTCTGTTGAGCTTTTATCCCCACACCCCTGTTGTTCAACCTTACGGTTGGTAAGAACTCGCCTAGCTCCCACAGGCTGGCTTTCGTGATTTGTTATTTCAGCATTTGCCGGGCAGAAGTTGGGCTTTTACTTCTGGTTTGGCCCTTTTGGTGGCGTTTGTGGACCAAAGATGAGCTGACTTTTGGCTCGGGTTTTTGGCTTCAGCGTTTGTAGGACCTTTGTTACTTGTAGTTTGGACCTTTGATTTAAGCGCTTTATGATGGAGCTTGACGGTTGCTTTAACTGTGTTTGATATCTGGATTTTTTGAAGAGAAGTTGAGGACTCTACTTCGGGTTGATTATGTATCTGTAAGTTTCACCTCAAAACTTCACGGATTCCCACATTCGTAGAGGTCCAAGGCACTCAGGCGCTATACCTACAACTGACTATCACGTTGTGTTTGCAGCGCGGCCTTTGTGGACTGCATTCGACGATAGGTTGTGTGGATGGTGCCGGACTTCACCTCGTCAAGCGCCTCGCTTCGCTGACACCTCAGCAGCTCGCATCAGCTCGCATCAGCTCGCATCAGCTCGCATCAGCTCGCAGCTTGCATCAGCTACTTGAAAGACTCAGATGAGTCGCATTCAATGCCGACCTTCACTCTCTTTCACATGGCAAAAAACAAAGCGTGCCGGACATCAGAGACACTTGGCTGTGTCCAGAAAGGTCTTGAAGTCGTCCAGCAGCGCATGTCGCACCAGGTACGGCGTCGAGTACATCCAATCGAACGGAAACTTGCACACGCGCAAGCCCTTGTTCTCCAAGTGCTTAGTGACAAGGCAGCTTCCTCCCAGAGGCACCACCTCACGTGACACTCTGGCAACAAAGCAACGTGGGTCTAACACTACAACGGTGTTCAAAAGGCTATGCTTTGGCGCTTTGGGGTGTTCTTTGGCGCTTTGGGCTAAAGGCCAAAGGGCATGGCCGAAGGTCTGCCTCTTGGCCTTCGAGGACTTTCCAATCTTGCCCATGGCAAAGGGTCCCCGGGCGTCCTTCTGTCCCTTGCGTCCCTTACGTCCCTTGTGTCTCTCCTGTCCCTCCTGTCATCTCCTATCCCTCCTGTCCCTGTGCTTGATGTGTTGCAGGCCGAAACGCTCGATCATCTTTAGATGCAGCAGACGGCTTTGCCCGCGTTCAACTATCTTCTAAACACTAGAGCTGACCGGCTGACCATTGCTGTGTTGCCAGGATGAGCTGATGAGCTTTGGAGTGCGAGACAAGGGAAAGGAACTTGAAAAGCTTGTGGCAACGTTGTGATCTGTCAATAGCACAGGTTGCCGTTGTTCACGCTCTATCCGTGCCGCAACGTGAAACAGCGCACTCTGGTCCGGCTGAGCCCTGCAGAGCTCAGCGGGTGAAGCCCCCGCCACCTGAGAGGTGGCCCCCGCAAGACAACGCAAGACAACGCAAGACAACGCAAGACAACGCAAGACAACGCACCCCTAGGACTCTCCACACCAGAGAAGACTCCACAGAAGACTCCACTCTCTGCTAGGACGGGCCCCCACCATGGAATGCCAGGTTGGTGGTGCCAGGGCGCTGAGGGAGAGCCTCGCCACAGGGTACCACAGGGCATCACAGGGTATCACAGGGTATCACAGGGTATCACAGTGCGTGGTACCCGCATCCGAGATTCTTAAAATCCCATGCATGGCCGCAGAGCTTTCGTGCCGGGCATTCGGCCGGGAGTTCTTTCTCTTCACGGTCTTTGAAGAAGATCTTGCAATGCAGCGCTAACTTGCATGTTGACGTAACAACATTGGCACTAGAGCACAACCTGCATCATTGAACCTGCCTGCATGGTGAACACCTTTCGCTGTGGGTCCCAGCTTGTGAAGAACTTATTCTCGGCCTTGTCAATTTCCATGTTCGGAACCTGCCGGCACTGTGGCAAGTTTGTCGAAGGCCACATAAGGCCACCTGAGCTGGTGGAAATGGGAGCTTTCTGGCACCTGCAAGGAATTTGAGAAGTTGGGTGCCTTGAAGGCAATCGTCTCGTAAGGCTCGCAGGCTGTGAGCAAGTACTGGAACTTCGACTCGGAGGCTTAAACGGTACAAAAGAGAAAGCCACGCGCTTTGACGTACTGCTAGTGCACTTATAGTGAGTACGCTTTTCGTTGGATTTTTGCTCTCCGGGAAGGCCTCGGGCGGCTCCACCTTACACTCCAAGTCATCAGTGAGACAGAGATCAACACCGCTTGAAACTGACAACAACACAGCTTTGAACACGAAAAAGCTCACTTAAGACTACGTAGGCATATGAAGTCATTATGACGTGGCATGAAGTGTTCAAAGGATTATGAAGTGTTCAAAGGATTGGCAATTCTCCCCGCCTTCTGCTCGTAGGCAGACATGAACCGGTGTCGAGGCTTCACCCTTTCCAAGGCCTGAGAGTTCTCTTCAGTTTCTCTTCGGGCCTTGCCTTGGTCTGCTAAACGTGCAGCTCAAAACCGCAGCTCAGAAACCTCGGGGTACTCAATCTCAAAGAGCAAAGCCTTCTGCTGACTGTCGGGGTCCCGCTCCTCCAAACCACCGGGCACAGAAAAACAGAAGGGCACAGAAGTGTGCACGACAACAGGCCCCAAACAGCTACCTTCGTCACCCGATAACCGGGCCGGCCAATCTTCACAGTTTTGCGCGGTCCTGCGCGACTCTCCGGAAGGGCTGCTTGACAAACTATGAACCGAAAATTTTAGCAGCGAAGCCAGCAAAGCCCAGATTCTTCGGTTCCTGAAGAAGTCTGCGGCTGCGGCTGGATCGTCGCATCCTGCCGCTCGGCCAGCGCTCAGCACATGCCGATAGGTGATGGTACACTGGTGTATACTGGTGTCCTGCTTCTCGCGGGCAGCGCGTCTGGCCAAATTAATCTGGTGTTTCTTGCCCTGCGTGTGCGCCAGGTAGCTTCCTGACCAGACACTAACATCACCATGGCACAGATGGACATGCGAGCAACGACATTGCACCATCACGCCTTCGTTGGTATGAAGCGTCAGGCACAGCTTGCACTCATAGCTGCCCAGGTGATTGCGCATGAAGTATGGATCCTCTCGGAGATGAACGTCCGAGCTGCATCACGCCGCCAACACCCCGCACTAGGCCGCACCAACCCATGGTGCAAGCACAATGCTCTCACATTTCACCTTCAACTCGCAACCGGGTAATGTTGCACTGGCTTTTGTAAAGCTCGGGTCGATATTCACAACTTTTCAATTTGTTGGGGCCATCCGCAAAATCACAAGCTCTTGCTTCGGTTTTGTTGGAAGGGTAGTTTAAGGTTTGTCATGGGGTTTAGGGTTTGTCTCAGCAGTCTGGAGAATCCAGGAAGCTAAGCCCGTCCAGTTTCATCAACACGTTTTGGGATTTCATTCCGAGATGAGGCCCCCAACAAATTTCGTGATAGGTAGCCCACGCGGCTCCTGGGGGCATTTCCTTATACTTGGAGGGTCGATTTGTTTGGGGGGAGGGGGGGGCCCTACTAACGACATGCAACACTATCGTACATTTCCTGTGCGAACCTGCTGCTATTTCAGGTCGAATTGCACGCTGAACACCATATCCAGCAACCATACTGAGCCACTGAGAGTGTGCCACAGCTGTGACAGATTTCGCATATTGGAAGCCCCAAGGCTGACATGCGAAATGTGGCGGCGGAGGAAGGTTTTATTCAAACTGGCGGAGAACTGCATGTTCACGGGACTGTGGTGGGAGCATGGCTTGGTGTCCTGGTGCCACAATGCGAAACCCGTCACTAGAAATTGTGACCATCAACATCTGTGGAAGGGTTGTGATTTCCAGAAGTATTCGCCTCGGCTTCCTGCTGAGAAGCGTTTTGGAACAAGCAGACCCCCCCCCCCCCATCGCTTGGAGGGGTCCCACCTGTCAGCTGCTCGCTCCTTTAGAGGGGCAACCTTCTTCGTGCAGGCGGGAAGCCTTCTTCGCCACTTCTTGCATGGGGAATTGCGCTTGAATCGCATGTGCTCGAGTCGGCAGCACTCGAACAAGCCATGCTTGACGTTTCGTGCCTGAATCACCGAGCTTGAACCGCGCGTGCTTGAACCCAGGATTCGTGCAAACGCGTGAGCCGGTGCGGTGCTTGAGCTGCCGTGCTTGAATCGCGTTTGAGCATGCGCGCGCCGCGGAACTGAAGGCAGACATCCTTACAAAGGTTTTCAAATGTTTTCCAGAAGGGCAAATTCAAACTGTGCTTACTCTGCTCGACAACAGTTGGGTGCCTGCGTAAGGTGTTTCGAGCAGCAGGCATCGAAGAGGGTGACAGAGTCTCTCAAGAGGCTCTGTCAAGGAGGAGTGCTTGTGGCACATGCATGACCTGCAAGAATTGACTATGCCAAATCGGCAATGTCTCAAGTCTGAAACCGAGCCCATCCCCTTTATTTTGCCGTAAGTCGCTATTCGCAATTCCTTACCCGCCGCTACCCGCCCAGCATCACACTTCGCAATATGCTGATGGCACTCAACACTAGGAAAGAGTATCCGCCGAGGCCTCGGGCCGAAGGTGTATAGGTTGTCAGAACAGGCACCCCCCTCCAAATCCTCCCCCCAGGCCCAAAGCCACTTTTCGGCCCCCTTTTTTTGCTTCAAATGGGTACCCCCCCCTAGGAGAGGAGGGTCCGCAAGCGGATGTCTCGCCAGGACCAGAGGCAGTTGCAGCCCACCCCAGCAGGGCGCCCCCACTTTTCACACCCCCACCCCCCCAACCCCCCCCCCCACCCCCCCCCTACCCCCCCCCACCCCCCCCGACCCCCCCCCCTCCCCCCCCCCCTACCCTACCCCCCCCCCCCCCACCCCCCCCTCCCTCCCCCCCCCCTACCCCCCCCCCCCCCCCCCCCCCCCCCCTCCCTCCCCCCCCCCCTTCCCCCCCCCCCTTTTTGCTGGACGAAAGGGCAGTTGAAGAAGGCCCCCCGCCCCCCTACCCCCCACCCCCCCCCCCCCCCACCCCACCCCCCCACCCCCCCACCCCCCCCACCCGGCCTGACAAAACGCGCCCGAAGCACCAAAGCCTTGCCTGCCCCCGCCTGGCGAACCCTACGATCAATCCAAGCCGAACCGTCTCAACCCTCACCCTTGCGCCTTGAACCTTGAAAACCCTAAACCCCAACAGCGTGAATCTTGAGCCCTAAGCCCTCAATCCTAAACTAACCCTCAACCCTAAACCATAAACCCGGAACCCTAAACCCTCAACCCAACCCTTCTTGCTTGGGGTCCAGTCACCATGCTCACGCGGATGCGCTGGGCCGGGCCGAGGCGGGTCGCGTAGCGTTAAAATTAGAGGGGCCACTGAAAATGAAGCGTGGAGAATTGCTGCTCCTTTGACAAGTCGATGGTTTCCAGCGCAAGTTTGCGAAGCCGCTCCCGCCTGCAGGTGGCAGTAGTGCACTTTGCCGTACTCTCTCGTTCCATTGTGCAAAATAAGGGATGTAGCAATGTAGCTCCTGTCTGCTGCAATCTCCTGATCTGTGGCGGGACCTGGAAGAGCAAGCGACCGAGAATCCTCGGAGAATCCAAGCAACGCCACAACGCGCCTGCCGTCCCGAACTTGTGGCCGACGCGGTTCTGGAAATCCATCTTGACAGATCACCTCGACTCAAAGTGCAATGTGCAACGATATAGAAAATATGCAGCGATCCATTTCAGCTTTGGTAACTTCAGGAGGCCTCAGCCTCAGGAGGCCTGCAAACCCAGTGTCACCGAGGTGCTCAGCTACCCAAAGCTTGAGCCAACTGCAGGCTTTGGAGCTGTGGAACATGGACTGCGCAGGCGACTTGTGGCCAGCATGTGCAGCGTGTGACTACCGTGTGACTGTGATGCTTTTGGATTTGCCCTCGCGCGGGTCACTTCCGCGAAGGCGCACCTGTCAAAGAGATGACACAATAGGGCATGACACATGACAATGACACTGTCATGAGACACTGCTTTGCTCAAACCCGATTCGGCCTAGCCGTGGTCCTGTCCAACTTTGGGATGCCTGCGAAGATGCGTCAAACCATACCCTCTATGCCCTTTGGAGCATTTTGGCATACTTCCCTGTGGCTTCAGGGGCGAGTGGGACCTGGCAAGTATATTTCAAAAAAGAAATGGCCTTTTCCAGACATGATACGTTGAACCTGGAGACCGGGTTCGGGTGATAAGCAAGGCTTCAACGACCCTATTTGCCTGTAGTGTGGCCGCCAATGCCTGCAAAAGCAGCAGCGTGGAGTGCAGCAACCGTCAGTGACCCTTGATACAACAGACATCCTGGCTTCGTACGTTTCCAAGTCATTCGTGCATCGGGCGCGCATCATGCTCAACAGCCAGGCGCCATGATTGCGAGAAATTGCGAAAGTGCTGGTTAGTTTTTTCTGAAGATGAGTGAACGAAGGGTACGAGCCCTCCGGCTCAATGTTTCGTACTGCTATCTGCGCAGAAGTTGCAGGACTAGGACACAGACTACTGTACACACACTCAAAAAAATGTTGCTCAAGGCTGTGCAATATGGCCCAAAATGAGCCTGAGGAAGACAACAAGGCAAGCAGCTTGACATGTACTGCAGCTAGACATGTACAGACACTACAGATCAACACTATTCAACACTTCTTCTCCGTTCCGGTGTGGACCGAGACCAAAGTTGCAAGTCGTTGGTGCTTACTCCGGAGCCCACGTCGACTCTTCCCTCCGCCTCCGCTTCTTGAAGTTTCTTCAAGTTGGCACCATCCAGTGTATCCAGGCTCAGGAGCCCTCTTGAGCTGTTTCTCCACCATCATTGTCTCCATCGCCGTCCCTTGCTGCGACCGAATTTCTGTTCGCGTCACAAATATATACAAAATCAATGATAACTGCTCCGCCCCAGCATTCAAGTCTCATCCGTCTTATGGAATCAATGCCAACCATAAGCTACCTTGCCAAGGCCTACAGGTCGTGCCAGCAACGGGCGTTTCTTGGGCTCGGCGCCACAGGAGCATCGGCCATTCGGCAGGTTTGTTTTCAGGTGATTCCAATGTTTCGTCATTATGCCAGGGTCAGGCTCCTTAGGAAAAAAGGAAACCGACAAGCGGCCCCCTGCCCTCGAGCCCGTGCTGCAGGTAAACAAGAAGCTCCGGGCACAACAGAGCTACGGCCACCAAACGTTTCAATGCCCGTACTATTCGAACTGTCAACGACTACGATTTTCATCACCATCATGACAGCCCAGAGACAATTCCCGAGCCTCAATCCGCAAAAAATAAGGGGCCTGCAGGCAGCGAAGAACCGCTGATGGGTTGCTGGGTTCAGGCCTCGAGGATTCGGTTCACTCCCACAGTCGCTCACTGCAAGAAACGCAGCTGGTTTGTCCATGGGCCCAGCAACAGGTCTGGGGGTGTGAACAAGGACACCTCCATACTTCCATCTTTCACTTGTACTCAAAGCACAAGGCAGCACAAAGGCAGCGCACAATGCAGCACAAGTGGCTACTCAGCGCTACTCAGGCAATACACTCGCAGGTGCAAGAACTGCCGCGACCTGGTTCACGCCCAGCGCTGCGCAAGCCTCGATTGAAAAACGTACCCCAGTAAGTTGCCTCTTGTCATCTCTTGTCTGTAGTGCTTGGGTTGCAAGTGGCAGTAGCTTCGTGCAAAGACTTGTTCAGCAATGGCTGCAGTGCCGCGTTTACTTCCGAAGGCCAGGAGGGTCTTGGCATTTCGGCACTCGCACCTTGAGGAACTGAGCGAGGCGTCCGACGGCCACAGGATTGGCCTCTCAGTACTCGGCGTGTCGGTGGAGCATCAACACTGCACGCATCTGTGTACGCCTTACTTGGTCCCCTCAAAGCGTTGGGAACGGGCAGCCCCCGAAAACATCTGACAATACCGTGAACAGCCCTTGCAGAAGGCCGCACATCCGGCAAAATGCCCTGCAGAGCCGAGGCGGCGAACGCGCCGCCAGCATGACAACACACGTCGAAATCGTATTTCAGCGCAGTGGGTTGCGGGCGAGCCTTTGACAACACATCTGGTCGCACCTTACTGAGCTCTGTGCGGCCACTGAGCAGCGACATGCTAGATTCCGAAACAAGCTGCCGGCACTTAAGGTTCCTCTACGTCTCTCAGCAGCTAGGGTCCTCGCTGAGATGACCAGGGCACATAACAGCCGTCCGTCAGCGAGGTCACGCACAGTCATCTTTTCGGCATCCAAACTGCCTGCGCGTGCAAAGTGCAAAATCTCAAGATCCGTTATGTGACCGTTATGTCAGGCCGTTGTGTGTCAAAGTCTATGCACTTGGCTTGGCGGCACCAGTAGTGATGGTTGTGATGCTGTTGTGATTCACTTGCTGTTGTCGCCATGGTAAGAGTGGCGCGAGGAACGGTGACGGCGCCCTTGTTGAAGTGCAAGCACTGCAGAGCGGAGTTGATGTGAGCACCGTGGGCCAGACTTTGAGATTGGGATCTCCTGTGCCGCTGCATGATTCGCCTCTCCAAACGGCGTCTAGAACAAGCAGACCAGGATCTGGTCTCTCCCTTCTGCCTTTGGGGCATCGGGGTCGCCCCCTGCTCAGCGCGCCCCCACGCTGTTGTGGTGGCTGGTGAAAAGCGCCCACTGCCCCCTTCCCTCTCCCCCTCTCCCCCTCTCTCCCTCTCTGCCCCTCTCTGCCCCTCTCTGCCCCTCTGCCGCTCCGCCCCTCTGCATCCCTGCCTTCTCTCCCTCTCTGCTCCTCTGCTCCTCTGTCTCCGCCCCTCTGCCTCTCGCTCGCTTTCGCTCGTTCTGGGACCCCTCTCCTGGAAGCCCCCCCCTTAAACCCATACTCGTGCGATAGAGGTCGAACGAGAATGACATACCCCCGGGCCCCCAACACAAACACTTTCCAAGGGCTGTCCCATGAAGTGGCTTTCTGATATTGGTGCTGCGAACTTTTGTGTAATTCCATACACAGAAGTCTGATGAAACAGCATCGCTGTCGTTGTAGCTGACCTTTCTGTTAATCGGCCAGCATCCGCCAACGCATACCCCGTTGCACAACGCTGTGCACTTCATACATGCGATTGTGCCACTACCATGTCACGCAATTGAGCTCTGCAAGGGGCACGATATTCGCGCGCCAGCTTGTTGCGGAGGCCGGCTGTTGCCGGCTGTTCTTGCACGTTGTTCCTCTTTGGTCCCTTGAAAAGAGCTTACCACACAGTGCTCTGCTCGGGGCCTAGGGGCAACAACCCTCGAACTTGCCGTGCTTGTGCGGGTGGCAACGGTACCTGCGTTTTCAAAAGGTCGCGCTTCTCGCAGTGCACAAGTTGTAGGAAAGATCTGTCTGATTCTGTCTGTGCGTCATTGTGCGTTCACATCTGCCTTGAGCTGCACGTCGATGACAGAGCACAACCATTGCAGAACAGGCCTCGGATTCCAGGCTGATGCGGCTGATGCGTCTGCTTCTGCCCGCCTCTCACGCCCTACCTCCATGGATCCGTGGGTTGCGACGCTCGTCTTAGGCCTGCCATAAGCCCACCCTGAGCCCAAAGCACGCCGAAGACATTCCGGCTTTACTAGCTTTACGACCAAAGTCGGCATGACCTGCCTAGCTCTGAGCGGGCATGTACTTCCACTTCGTCATCTGTCTCCTCCTGAAGGCTTCTCCATTGAGAAAAACCGCGTCTTTCAGCTTACCGATCTCTACTCTGCAGGCCGCATCGGCCTACCACTATTAGCCGCTGGGGACTTCTGCGAACTGGCGAACCTCGAAGAATATCCCGGTAGCCAGGATAACTTGGAAAACCAGCAACAAACGGCCGCGGGTAAGGCGTGCTTCAGGTCCCCGATTTGTCCCCACTCCCCCTCGCTGTCTCCCTCACCCACTTCGCTGCCAATCCTGGAAGAACAAATCTCCAAAACGACGGCATATTGCTCGATGTTGTGCAATCTTGAGCCATCGTTCGATGGCGTGTCATGCTAAGGTCTTCATGAAAATCTCTGTTCCGCGTCGCATGAAATCTCTATTCCGAGACGAGAGCGCATGTTGAAGCGCTTGGCGAACCGCAGGACTTCGAAACACACCGCAATTTGCGATATTGGATTCGCAGGGGGGGCTGGGGCAACTCACCAGACGACAACGAGGCTCCTTCAATGCCCGACATAAGCTTCCACTCGTGAGATACAGCCAACACAGCCAACTGAAACGAGCCCAAGCAATGGTCAAGCTCTCCGCTGCTACTTTGGCCCTTGCGCAGATAAGAACATGGCTTTCTTCTTGATCACTATTCACAACACCGGAGTCCGCTCTTTGCTTCTTCGAACTTTCGAGACCTTAAGACCAATGCAATTAGACGACGCCGTGACGACACCGCATCCCCAGGCTCTTTACAGCATTCAGCACTCGACTCGATTAGTCTGCTGTTCTTACTGCATATGGAGCTTCTGGCAGCTTCAGTACGAATGCACGAATGCAGGTGGGCAAACACAAGCCGAAAATTGTCATCAGAGTTTGGCTGGAGGCTAAAGAGTGCAGCAGAGGCTGCTGGGGTTTCGCTACAGGCGCCTGTCAGAACGAAGGCATATATTTCTCAAGGTTGGGGGGGGGGGGGCATGGAAGTTTAGGTGGTCTGCTGATGCTCCTTTGCTGAGCGGGTTGGGGGGCATCATCGGCTCGTCAGAGCGGCTCATCGCTTCTCCCGTGCTTCTCCCGTGCTTCTCCCGTGGCCTCCCGGGGTTTTCGGGCGCCGGGACGCCTCAGCAGCAACATCATGAGCATCAGCTTGGGTCGGGGAACCCCATCTTCTTTCACAGGCTGAACGTTTGCAGCCTCGCGAATCCCCCGACAACACGGACCTGGCACCAGCTATCCCCGGCCCTTGCTCTTCTTTACGCCGCACTAAGACGACCCGAAAAAACTCGCTTTTTACGAGGTCTTCTGCCCCTGGAGCGGCTCAGACGAGAGAAAAGAGAGAGAGAAAGTGAGAGAGAAGAGAGAGAGAGAGAGAGAGAGAGAGAGAGGAGAGAAGAGAGAGAAGAGAGAGAAGAGAGAGAAGAGAGAGAAGAGAGAGAGAGAGAAGAGAGAAGAGAGAGAAGAGAGAGAAGAGAGAGAAGAGAGGGAAGAGAGAGAGAGAGAGAGTAGAGTGAGAGCAAGACAGAGAGAGCGGAGAGAGAGAGGAGAGAGGTACAAACAGCCTGCGCATGATCCGAGTTGCTTCGAACTGTCTAGAAACGTAGAACAAGTCAGCGCGGCATGACTATCCTCAGACTCTTCTTCTGACTCTTCCACCCCTGTGCGCATGCCACATTTTGAGGTGACAGAGGCACGTCAGGTTTAGTTTGTTGCCGCACATCGGACTCAGGCAGTCTGGCTGGAATCAGGTTGGCCGGGAAGCTCTGGTGCAGCCGTTGCCAGGCGCTGGCTGGCAAGGTGCGGAAGTCACCACTCCCGAAGTTGTGGCTGGGCCAGCTTGGCTTTGCAGCAGGCACGGATGGGATCAGGTTGGCCGGGAAGCTCTGGTGCAGCCGTTGCCAGGCGCTGGCTGGCAAGGTGCGGAAGTCACCACTCCCGAAGTTGTGGCTGGGCCAGCTTGGCTTTGCAGCAGGCACGGATGGGATCAGGTTGGCCGGGAAGCTCTGGTGCAGCCGTTGCCAGGCGCTGGCTGGCAAGGTGCGGAAGTCACCACTCCCGAAGTTGTGGCTGGGCCAGCTTGGCTTTGCAGCAGGCACGGATGGGATCAGGTTGGCCGGGAAGCTCTGGTGCAGCCGTTGCCAGGCGCTGGCTGGCAAGGTGCGGAAGTCACCACTCCCGAAGTTGTGGCTGGGCCAGCTTGGCTTTGCAGCAGGCACGGATGGGATCAGGTTGGCCGGGAAGCTCTGGTGCAGCCGTTGCCAGGCGCTGGCTGGCAAGGTGCGGAAGTCACCACTCCCGAAGTTGTGGCTGGGCCAGCTTGGCTTTGCAGCAGGCACGGATGGGATCAGGTTGGCCGGGAAGCTCTGGTGCAGCCGTTGCCAGGCGCTGGCTGGCAAGGTGCGGAAGTCACCACTCCCGAAGTTGTGGCTGGGCCAGCTTGGCTTTGCAGCAGGCACGGATGGGATCAGGTTGGCCGGGAAGCTCTGGTGCAGCCGTTGCCAGGCGCTGGCTGGCAAGGTGCGGAAGTCACCAGCGCTGAGCTGCGTAGCTGGGTCATCAGGGTGTGGCTCGTGTGGAGCCGATGTGGCCGTGATTTCTTTGCAAAGCAAATCTCGAGCTGCTAGCTCCTCAAGGCCTGCGCCCACCAGATCTCACGAAACAGTCTTTGACAAGTCTTGTGACAAAGTCTAAGACAAGTACAATCCGAGGTGCGCCTTTCAGCACCGAGAGCCGGCCGCGTTCTCTTGCCAGGTCCAAAGCTGATTGCCCGGACCTCGGAGAGAGCTGTAGAGAGTGGAGTGGAGCGTAACGCAGCATAACATTCTCAAAAGGAAGAAGCAAAAGCAAAAGCAAACGAATCCAAAAACATCAAAACAACATCAAGACCATCATCAGGTGCCAAGCTTGTTCCTGGCCCTCAGGACATCAACGCCCGCCGCCGCCAGGGCATCAATCTGCGGAGGCACGTTTCGAATACAACACTGAAAAAGCCGCAGACTCAGCCGCTGAGTGTGGAGAGGCGGAGGGCAGGCTGCTGTTGCGAGAGGTGTTCAAAGTGTTGTGGGCCGACAAGGTCCGCCCTTTCTCAAAACGGAGACACAGGGCTCTTTGCAAGCATAGCTGGCATAGCACGTAGAACAACGTAGAACAACGTAGAACAACGTAGAACAACGTAGAACAACGTAGAACAACACGGGGCCCCAGTCCGGAATGCAGATGGCTCTGACGAGTCGGCGCTCGCGGTGCTTCCACTTTCTGCTGACATCTGAAGCCGCGGCGTGGTGGCCCCACGGGAATGCGGAAGATGCGGAAGATGCAGAGAAAATGCGGAAAATGCGGAAAATGCGGGGAAAAGGGGGGAAATGCAATTCTCAAGTTGTCAAGCGCCTGGACCATGTCGTCCTTCATGACTGCCCGGATCACCTCCATATCCCTTGCCTTTTGGGGCAGCTGAGGGATGGCAACTCCCACGCCGCAATTGCCAAACAGAGACCTCGTCTGCTGGAGGCCTTTCTGGAGGCCTTTCTGGAGGCCTGCCCCACAAGGCGCTTTCAGAGGCATCGCTCCCGCCTGCACCCCTCAGGCGCCGTGTTTTCCGCCTTGAGCTGTGAAGCAAGTCTCCTCTGCCTTTGCCCTGTGACTCTTTTCCGTGCTCCTCTTTGGTGCCGCACCTTTGCCGAAGGGAAACACGAGAATGCACTTGAATGCACTGTGTGAGCGGTGAGAGACAAGTTTAAGAGAAGAGAGAGAAAAGAGAAAAAGGAAGGGCAGGAAGGGTGAAAAAAAGAGAGAGGGCGCAAGAGAGTAGGGCGGGGGGAAGAAGTGTGCGCAACTCTCGCCTCAGGAAAGCCAGGACCTCTTTCTTCCCGCGCTCTCGGGCCAGCTGTAGCGGCCTCTCGCTCTGAACTCTGTATGCAAAAAAATAGAGATGGAGACAGAGACAGAGATGGAGCGAGAGAGAGAGAGAGAGAGAGCGATAGAGACAGCAGAATTCGCAAATCAAGCAAAGCAAATGAAAAGAAAAAGTACTTCAATTGTCAAGAGATTTCTGAGCACCCACGCGTCTGTTGAGCCGAATTTTTGACGGCCCAAATGTCGACACCAGACCTTTTGACTCACGGAGTGCACAGCAACTGCACTGTAAAGTAGCACCGGCTCAAAATGCTTGAAAGACCGGCATCTGGCTTCTGTATCTGCTGAATGGATGCCACATCGTCGCGGATCACAGCCTAAGTATGCTCAGATCTTCCCAGGAGCACGTCGCAGTGAACTCGGGGCACCGGACGCGGAAGAGTTCCTTTAGGACCTCCTTTTGGCAACAAGCAAACCTCGCAGCCCCAGATGCCCGTGATTGCCCGTGTGCGCAGGGTCCTTGTCTTCCATTGCTAAAGTGGATGCAGGACAGACGCCATCGAGGGCAATGAATGCAACTTCAAAACTTGATCTGTCCACAAATATTGCACAAACTGTTTCGCGTGCTGCCTGCGTTGCTGGATGGAGCTGCAACTCACCTGTAAATGTGATACACGCCAACATGCTCTGCGGTTCCTGGTGGCATTTGCTCGTGTGCAAATGTGTGCAAGATCCCAATGGACAAGGCCAAGGCAAATATTCAGAGGCCGGGCACATTTGCTAGTCACAGTCACTCGGCGTGGTGAAGAGCTTGGATTGACACCGTCGGCGCCGGCGTCAACTCACCGTGCTTGAAAGCTATCAAAGCGAAGCCAACACCAAACCATATTTGCGAAACCAGCATCCACCACCATGTCTTCAACATACCCCCTTTCGTTTCACAAGCTCGACCTCTGAGTCGTGAATTCGGCAAAGTGCCAACGCTTGCAGAAGCCTTGCGAAGACCACGCTATACAAACTCCTTCTCTCAAAAAAGTCACTTGTCAAAAATCGCTTGGCGACCCTCGCAACTACCTTGTTGCCGCATTGCTCAATACCCACACGCTGGTGAATATCACGCGCTTGTGTGGGTGTGGGGGGGGGGGGGGGTATTCAAAATGATTACGAGCGAGCCGAAGTTGAGGATAGTGATTTTGAACTTTCTGAGAGAAAACAAAGAGGACGAAGCGTCCGAACTTACAAGGTTCACCCAAAAAGTGACAGATCTCGCTAGCACCGAACGCAGCACCATTTAAAGAGAGACGGCAGAACATTGTTTGGGTATGGCAGCAGGCGGCATCAGACTGCAATTTCAACAACACAGCGTTCAGGCGCTTCACAGCTCTGAGCGAGATGCTGCTGCTATATAAGCTGCTGTGTTAATGCTCGTGCATGTGATTCAGTGCACTAAAGTGCTCACCACGAACAACAGCTTGTGTTCGTCGGCAGCGAACAAGCTTCTCTCAAGATCCTTCGTGCTCGTTGGGAAGCTCATGGCAAGGACATGGGTCATTCAGAAGGAGTTTCATATAGCTTCATTCATGTCATGCATTTCATTCATTTCAGTCGGCATGGAGCGAGATCTGAGGTCCCTAAGACAACATTACTTAAACCATATCCCACCTGTTGAGTGCGCGATAATGCCTTAGCAGGGGCTTGCGCTCAGTAGATGCCGTTCTACAGAAAGTGAATAAATCGTATGACGCGGCGGGATGCCGAAATTTTCGAAACATTCTGTGCTCTGTTTTCCCTCGCCCTTCGCGCACGTTTCAGGGGATCCTGATTGAGAAGCTCCTGCCCTTGCTTGCTCTCGTGTCAGCAACCCCTAGCTAGCGGGCGAGTGTGCATGCTCGTCATTCCGCTCGCGACTTTTACTCTCAAGTGAATTTCAATGATAGCAAACAACAACAACGACAACGGAATGGGATACACATGGATACACAATTGGGCAGTTTGAGTTCTGTTGCGCGGTGATGTGCGGTGGAAGAAAGTTGGGCATGGGGTGTTGGCTCACTTTCAAAACAGCAGTAAGTTGTTCAACACCTGGCGAGGTGCGCTTGTAAGCTCAACGTTTTCCATGGTAGCGTGAGGCTCGCGGAGCCTCATGGCACCAGCTTCAAATTGACAAAACCATCTAACACTCATGAGGCAAGCGTCAGATATTCATTGAGGAACCACAAAGGCAGATACCACGAAGGCCTGGCAGGGTTGCAGGAAAAACGCACAGAACCGCCAATCCGTTCACTGCGTACAAGACATGGTGGCATATGACCAATGAGCGTTGCATAGGCTATGCAGCAAAGCTCCATTATTTTGATGGAACTTGCATGCGATGCGAGCCAAACCTGTTAACAGCGGAGAGAATCCACGCGCAATGCACGGGCATTCTCAACTCGAGAATGTTGGAAGTTCGGGAAACATGCTTCGCGATGACTTTGCAATCGATCAGCAAATGGATCTGGTCACCAAACACGCTTGAGCTCGCAAAAGGAGTTCCAGCGCACGAGCTCTGAGGACCCGATCTCTTCGACCTTGGAGTCCTGAGAAAGGAACCGGTGGGGGGGGGGGGCCGGCAATTCGTGCAGATCGAGAAACAGAAAACACTTAAGTCAAATTGGAGCCCACTTGTGACAATCTGACGCATGTCAAACAAAAACGCGAAGAAGAAAGAGTTCTTGAGGGGATGTTTCCTCTTGGCGAATGAAGGATGCCCGCGAGACAGCAGCTGAAAGTCTGGCGCCGGGCAAGACAGCATAGGACTCGGCCCAATCGCCTTCCCCTGCAAGGCGTCCCAGGTGTCCATTGCCTTCGCCCCAGCCACAGTCGGCATCGTACCAATCACCGGAGTAACGGGGTTTCCAAGCTTCAGCGGTCAACAGGGCCAAAGGCAGGACCTCGAAGCAGAGGAGGCAGGCATAGCAAAGGCTCGCTTCGTCGGACCGCAACAGTCCCCTTTGCATCACGAGGCCCATGACCAAGGTTTGCAAACACGTGATGGTCACCAGGGCCTGTCCACAGAACAGTCCGCACAAGAACCCGCCCCAATGCACGCCGAACGCACGCACGCACACCCGCACCCACAAACACAACACACGCACGCACCCACGCACCCACGCACGCCCGCACGCCCGCCCGCACGCACGCGCACGAACACACACGCACACTGATGCAAGAACGCACTCGAAAGTTGCAAATGCACTCATGTCGGACGCACATGCACTCACTCATGACAGATGCACACGACGCAGAACCGATGCATATGCCCTCACGCTCTTCACTGTCTAACACCTGATTTGTTAAACCCTCATGGAACACAACGACAAATGTCACAACCGGCCTGAAACTGGAAAACCTGGTTTAGTCAAAACGAAAAGGGCCCGACTTTTGTTGTTATGGCATGCCAGCTACATCCGCAGATGTCCAGGCACTGCCATGGCAGGTACGTTTGCCTGGGGTGTGGGGGGGAGCTTCGTTGGGGTGAAGAAACCAGCTAGATCATCGTTGTATAGCTTGAGGCTTTCGGCTTGTTCATCGTGAACAGGGTGCAAGTCGAAGAACTGCTTGATGTGATTCAGGAGTGTGAATACATCGCCAACAACTGCAGCCTGTGGAAATGCCTTGGTGACGATCAGAAACATTACCAAGGAAAAGGCTTCGATGCCAGGCCGGGGAGATTCGTTGGCAAAGGCAAAACACCTGCGTTTCTGAAGGTGTTCTCCAGCATTCGATCGTACAGCACTGGACAGAAACTTAAAATACACCCTGTATGACCCAGCCATGGTGGGCCTTTTTCATTTTTCTGTACTTGAGTCCACTGCGCGTGACCCCGACTGCTTCGCTTGATAGATGGTGTGGCTGATAAACGGCTCCAACGACTCAGGATCTGGAACTGGCATCTTGTTGTCTTTATGCCATCTCCGAATAGCCCGGCTCAATTGAGCAGATAGCCTATCGTTGATTTTCTGCATGTTGAGGTCAGAGACTGGGATTGCCATGTGACTTTCAAAGACGTGCTCAGGGTATTGGTCTTGATTCGGCAATCCGTTGAAAGTTGTTGGAGATAATTTCGAGGATGGGGGGTGTCTTCGATGGATAGCCTTGGTGCTCGGCATATGCAAAGGTGGCAACTCAGCCTTGAACAAAGCCACTTGTTGCCGAAGGTGGTCCCGAAGATCTGATGTGTGATCTGTGCGCCAACCACGGGTCGGGCCGCGGAAGGGAGTTGCATGTTGCGAGCCTTGAAAATACGCTTCAACGCCGAAGTCACGGGGGTCTTGAACTGCACAGGCAGATTTCGGCTCAGTCTGAGTAGGCAGAACAAGCTGCGGTATCTGGAATCCAGTACTGCCTGTGTGGTCGTTCTTCCCAATGAGCGTTTTTCCAACTCGAAGTTGTCCATGAAGACGCTGTAGGAAGGTTCCTGCGCACACTCCGGGATGTAGGTCCATGCCGTGCCGGCCGACATCACTTCTTGCACACTCTATGTGGAAATCTAGATTCTGTAGTCAATCTGATAATCATCTCAAAAACTAAAAATTAAATAATAGAACGCGCATTATAAATCAATGTAATTTTCTATCAAGGCTTTATGCATAGTAATGCTTTTCCAGGCTTCATGGAATTCATCTTCTGCTGCTGGCTGCAAATTACGTTCAGCATCATCATCAGCAGGTACAGGGAACTGGCCAAGTTCCCCTTCCCATCCATACCCACAGCTGCGTTGAGGTTAGCCAGAGGCATCCCGGGGAAGGTGCCATGGCAAGTGGGGCAATCCAGGAAAGGGTGTAGTGATGGCAAAGAACTTCACGAATGGAAATTTGTATGAAATATTTCCTCAAACCTAGCATGTTCTACCACTTCGACACATGCACAAGTGGACACCTGCTCCGCACAGTCTGGACTCATGTTGAATCTGACATGCTCTACCACTGCTGCACGTTGACATGTGAACAAAGAACATGCACCACTGCTCAGCACATCACACTCGCACGCTTCAATGCAAAGATGTCTGCTCCGTACATATTCATGTCATGCATTCATGCTCTGCCGTTCATGCTCTGCAATTCAGACTCGACCTTCGGAAGCATGTAGCACTCTCTCCCTATGTTCTTCACAACATGCTCCGAACCTTCGCGTTGTCATCGTTCATGTCCAAGTGTAATCCATGAACATGCTCACGCAACTCTGCTCAGCTATTCCACTGTCCCTGCTCTGCAAACTACAACTCAAGACGTTCAAGCTTGATGGGCTCGAGGTCTTCATGACATGTTCACGGCTCAAAGTGTTCATCCATATTCAAATACCAAATGCTCAAAACGAAAATCACGTTCTTGTAGAAGTGGTTGAAGCAACAGCGATGATGCACCATACACAGCTTGAGTTACAGGACATCTATAACCATCACTGGAGATGGCGTCCCATCTCCATATCACTGTGCACTGAGAGCGTCTTCGTTGGCAGGAGACTCTCAGGCACACTCCTGCCCCCTGCTGTTTCCGAAACATAGAAGCGTATTCCCATTTGACTGCCAAGCTTTGCACACGTTTTCACCTCATTCTGCAGTGCTTGTTGACGAACCCGCATGTGGGGATGGTACGATAGTACACGTTGTGTCGCGTTTGTCGATGCCACTACTTCACGATCTCGTCCGAGTGGAGGCTTATCCGCGTTGTGCAAAATTATTCAGGTCCTCCTTCCGTCACTGCGAGCTCCTGCTGCATGTCCCCGGTTAGCTTGTCGAGGTCCATCTCAGTGCAGGAGCCGTTGTCCATGATGAAGGAGCGTAGCGTGCGGTGTACACCATTCTGTTGTAAGGAGTCAAGGATGTCAGACACCTCCCCGTAATTCATGAAGGTCACGTCGCCCATGATGAACGAGTAGTACCATGTTCTGATCCTATCATGGATATTGAAGAAGCCGAGTACGCGGGCTAGTCGAGTGGGCGCTTGGCGATGGATCAACTCAACAAGCTGGAGCATATGGCTAGTTTTTGGCCACGCCGTGTGATGGTTTATGGCGTGGACGTAGTTCAGCATCACCATGCAATGTAGGTGTCCGGTTTGGTACTGCTCCGTCACCTCCGGTGTATGGCGACACGTAGGCCGAGAATGTCTCGAAGTGTGTGGTACTGTTTTTCGAGTTGCAAATCTTGCGTGGTAATGTGCTTGTAGGGTATCTCGACCCCTGGCTGTTGTGGATTAGTAAGCTCACGGTGTCCTGCTACCATGTTCTTGTTCTTCCACTGAAACGCAAGGACTGTGGGCCACGCTGCTCTATGATCACGCACTGGAAATGTCTGGCGCGTGGGGTAGGGTAAGACGTGCATGAGGTCGTAAAAGTCTCTGGGAAAATCTTCTTTTCGTAGGAGGAACTTGAACGCAACGCAGTCCGGTTCTCCAGCTTTGATGTTCTGAGTCATGTTGAAGACTGCTTTGTTTACTGGTCGTAATGCGCGTGTCTGGTATCGCTCGAGGTAGAAGCCTTGAATTAGCGCGGCGTTCAGGTTCAGGTACTTGACGACGGGGTGGCATCTGGGCGCAAATACCACGCCCTTGCTGGACGTCCTCTTGGTTGCGTAGCTGGGCCTCGAGAGGAGGGTAGACTCCAAGCGTAGTGGATTGTCTGCTTTGTCGAAGTTCTTGCAAGTACGACTGGATCTCTGTTCTGGACCTGTGTTCCAGAGTGTATCCGACCCCGTTGTCCATGAAGATGAATCTGTATCGTGGGAGGAGGAATTGTAAGGCTTGCTCCATGGTGACGACGTTGGTTGCAGCTGACTATCAAGCAAGAAGTAAGAGCAAAAAGCATCGGATTTGACTGACCAACAGACATTCCAATCTACTTGCAACGCGGGCAAGCGTGTAGCAATACCAGTGGTTGACAACTGTGTCCCATGTCATGCTCAAGAAAGTCGACAGTAACTATGTGCACTTGACGCTCTCACAACGACATGTGACACATTGCACTTGAAGCCTGAAGCATGAATGGTCCGCAACACGCATGTCAGGCACCATGTGGGAAGGTCAGCAAGTTGCTATGACTGTGAGACATCACACGTACAGGCTACCCTTCACTGGTACACTGAAAGATCTGGATGATATGCATCTGCTGTCGTCGGTAACGGGTAGCTGATCGTCAGGATGTTATACGTTGCTGAGGGAAACCTCTGCACTCGTGTCCAACCGGACGCCGTTGATGATGTGTGGTTTTGCCAGGGTTCTGCTTCCTCTGCCGACTCAACCTCGTCGTCAAAATAGTAGTCGTTGTGAAACGGGTTGGGATGCCGTTGTTGGCTGTTTTTCTTCGTCGATCAATGCCATGATAAGCCGGTAGTGTTGCGTGATCCACTCTTTGACATTATCACGAAGTGGCTGGCATTGTATGTTGCACGCCGCATGGTGCATCTCGGCCCGTGTGAAGTCTGCACTGAACAAGTCATGCGTCAGACGCCACGCAGCTCGTCCTGGAGAGAAAAACTTGATGGTGTGGATCACCATGTGGATGTCCCCAACGGACAGTGTGTTGACCCTCATGCATGACGAGTTTTTGGCTCTCCAATGTTTTAACTTGGCGTCGACAGCAAAGAGTAGTTTGTGGATGCCGTGGAGCTCAGGCGCCAAGTGTTCGACGAACTCTTCGTGGGGTGGGGCTGTTGGTTGATGACAGCCAAGACTGCATTCCACTCCATGTCCTGACGTTGAACGCGCGGTGGTCTTGGCTTGGGCATCTGAACATACAGGACGCGTCCATCTGGTAGGGGAGGGAGCGTTACAGTCATGTCCTGCAGGCATACCTCTCGCTGAGGTAGAAGAAGCGTCTGGCCGCACGGGCTAGATGGACTGTGAGCTCACACCATGAGGAGGTTGTCATTGCATGACTTGCTCTGGCATTGCGCGTGAAGGCGATGTGGGCAATGCGGGGCACGCAGAATGCTACTCCCGGTCGTGGGGCATCCTCGGAAAAGGGGCGAGCGAAGCAACCTGGCCAATGTTCATCTTGGTGTTGATCTTGTTGTTGATGTCCTGGTAGATAGTCTTGGAGAGCGGTGACAAAATTCGCCGGGTGGCTGGCGTAAATGAGGACAGAAGTGCCATGGTACTGCCCGATGGGATAAATATGTCGTCGAAGTTTTTCTTCTGTGGTATTTGACGAAGTGCGGAGTATGCGATGGCGTTGTTGATGCGAACGTACCCTCCTCGGTATTCCTCAAAGTAAGCTGAATGGACGACTTTGTGAATCCTGACTTTTTCTTGATAACGCACGCCCATGCGGTGGTATGTGTCGTCGACGTAGTTGCGCAGCCTGGATGAAACTCGATAGTGACGATGGGGGTCTTCTTCCAAGTGAGCCGTTTCAAGCTCGTAGTTGTTCGTGAAGATCACGTAGATGGGTTCCGTGAAGAAGTCCAGAACATAGCTCCACATGATGCTCGTGAATGCGCTCTACCCTATCATGACTGCAAAATTGGCATCTACGCCAGCATGCAGTGCATCCCTACGCCATGCTGTGTGAAACTTCATGGAGCCACTATGCGCCTCTTTGCTTCCCGCACGGTACGTAGTGCTGTGTTCGGTCGACTGTTTCGAATTTGAAGTGAAAAGAAAGATGCGGTCGTCACTTCGTCATTATTGATGTCCTCTGATGGCTTCATAGGTTACCTGGTGTTCTTCTGTTGAACTTCAGGTCCTGTTTGTTCTTCTCGAAGCTCTTGGTGATCTGGATCGGCGAGTTGTAGATGTGGAGGTGGTTCTGGGGTAGTAGAGGTTGATCGCGACGCCTAAGATTTCAGCATTCTGCGAGTCAATGATGCTTTTCTCTGAGTGGGAGAAGATTGTGGCGTGGGTTTGGTCGTAATTGCGAAGGTAGGCCTCCACGAGCGCCTTCTGCGTTGTCCATCCTCCGCCTCCATGTTTGAGATGATTTCGACACGCTGCACCTGATTTGACTCTTCCAAAAATGGTGTACCCGGCGCTGATGGCGTTGTCGGCGGGTCCAGCCTTTGCCTTGGGGATGCGCAGTGCTTTCTGGAGGCTGGTGTTGCATATGCCAAGTTGGCGGTTGTCTGGCGCATAGTCTTGGTGAAATCCGTTGAATCCCCGACGGGGTAGGTATGCATCTTCGAAGGTGAGGTCGGCGTCGTTCCAGTTGGCGCGCTCCCAGTTTGTGGGTCGAATGAATCCTTCACGTCTTCATCCGTGGCGTGGGTCCAGTAAGCGCGACGCACGCCTTTGCGGGATAGTGGTAGATCTCATGTCTCGTCTTGTGGAAATGGCGGGAGTGGAATCACGAGGACCTGCACCAGGGGGTATTTGTCTCTGTCAGCCTTTCCACTGTACGGGTCGCACTCCAAGCGGTGAGGATCTTGTAGAGCTCGATGATAGATGGTCCCGAAATTCTCGCGCTCCTCGCGTGTGAACTTTCGGTGATTGTGATGTGACTCAACGCGCGATGCTTCTGAAGCTGCTCTGGTTGGAAAGTGGTCTAGCATGTGGGGTTTTGATGCTGCGCGTGGTTGATCGGGGAGTTCGAGATCCGCTCCTGCTTCTTGGTCTGTTGCCCCCTACGTTGATCAGGTAGCTGATTGGAGCCAGAGGCCTGCTGGTGTACCATGGGAACGATCTGCTTGACGATGTCCGCGAAACAGCTGAAGATCTCCCTGAAGTCCGATATGGATGCCGATGGTGTAGGAGCGGAACGGGTCGATGCGTAGACTTCTGGTGGGTCTTGGCTACGAAGATCTTCTTCTGGACGGGGAACTTGTTGAAGCTGTTCGTGCATGGTGTGGGCCGGTTGAGCCGCCCGGGTTTCAGCCTGGTTCGGTGGGTGAGGCTAGTGTTGAAGATGAAGATACGTCGATCCTGGAAGGTGTTCTGGTAGCGCACCTGGAAGTTGTGGATCTTGAAGACCTGGAGGTTGTGAGTCCGGTCTATGTTTTGGCATGAGATGCCGCATGTCGGATGCCTGCGTGGGATTATGAATCATGTCATGCTGCGTCGGCCGTTGGTGCTGGCGCTGATCTGGAGGTGGAGGGGGATGATGTTGTCTTTGTCCCTGAAGAGCCATCTCCTGCGCTCGGTTGCTCATGTCTTGCTCCCGTTGGTGAAGTGCTGGTGCAGGTGACGGATGAGCCGCGTGTGGTGCTCGTGGGCCCTGTTCGGGAATTGCTCGATGTAGATGAGGATCTTGAGGCTGTGCACTGCGGGGGTCATGGTGTTGCGCTTGCGCCGTGGGTTGCCGCGACACTGGTCCTTGTTGATATGGGGGAGGAGGCTGTGGATGGCGATGATGAAGTTGTCGAACGTCTTGAAGTGGTAGCTGAGGGTGACGAACTTGAGCAGGAGGTCGTGGGTGTTGATGAGGATCTAGACCTGGACCTGGACGAGCATGAGGCATGCGTTGATTGCCTACACCTGGGCGCTGGTGTGGATATTGTCCATGGTCTTGTGGACGAGCTGATTGTCCTTGAGCTTGTTGCCATGAAGCTTGAGGAACCTGTTGCCACGGACGATTGCCTTGTTGAACTGCCAAGGTGAACGATGGCGGCTGAGCGGCATGTCCTTGAGGTCTTTGCTGAGCGGGCATGTTGAGGACTTGGTCGGACGGCGCTTGATGCGTACCTGGCATCTGCCACGTGGGTTGATACGGGGCCATCGGCGTAGATGGCAATGTGGCGGGTCGCTGTGTCGAAGAAAAAGGTGGAGGAGGTTGCCCTTGCCGACTTGGATCGTTCCACGCTCCCCTGTTTCCATCCATGGATGCTGCGTCGAGTGGCAGTTCACGATCACTGCTGCTCTACGCAAATGTGAGTTAACCGCTACGGCCGCAAACACAGCCGAAATGAAAAGAAGAATGTTGCCAATCATGCCGGAGGCTTGGTCACGTCTCCTTAAACCAAATCTGAGAACATAAGGCACGCCGGCCTTCTTGCCAAGCATCGTCGGTATCCACATTATTGGACCCAGCATGTTACTAATCCACGAAAATGAGTAACCCTCTTCATTCTCACTCGCCAGGTGAGTTAAGTTTTGTGAGTACCCTATGCGTCCTCACCCAAGTGAGGACTAACATAGGCAGCATTCACGCGTAGGAGCGAGGCTCCACCTACACCCGCAGCCCCAGGCACTGGGCGGGCTGGTTGTATCACACACTTTTTGCTCTAGTGTTTGGCATGGACTGGTTGATGGTGATGCTCTGAAAGTAGATATGCTCTAGCAAGCCACCGAGGACTGGTTAATAGGTATCAAGGATTAGCGCCACTCCTACTTCTGAGGGAGGCGCGAGCCGAGCTCAGCGTGGCCCAGCAAATGATTCCCAAAGCCCCCGACCCCACTCATCAGCCTGCGGCGGACGAGCTGCCAGAGTCCACGGGGCAGGAGACCCCTGACTTCACTACAACCTCTGGGAGCTGCAGCCGGGCTAGACGACACTCTAGAGTTGGGCAGGATGAGCGAGGAGTAGACCGGGGGAGGCAGAGTTGAGTTAATCACAACCCCGCACCGAGGGTGGGGAAAAACTATGGTGTTTAAAGAGCGCCTTTAGCGCACACCAGCGCAGCTCACGCAGGCGCACACAGGAGAACAGAGGGTGCACACAAGCGTACACAAGCGTACACAAGCGCACACAAGCGCACACAAGCGCACACAAGCGCACACAAGCGCACACAAGCGCACACAAGCACACGCGCGCACCCACCCGCCCGCCGCCCGTCCACCCACGCATGCACGCACGCCACCCGACACGCCCGCCCGCACGTCCGTCCGTCCGCCCGCCCGCAGGCACACGCACACCCTCACGCATGCTCTCACGCACGCTCTCCCGCACGTTGTTGCCCACGCGCACTCACACGCACGCTGAAACGTGCACTGACACGCACATGCTAGGTGCTGGTTTCGCACCCGTTCTGCCAAGTCCCATCAGGTATCAACAAAGCACAAGGCGCCTTGACCCCGAGGAACTTGAGAACCGGAGCAAAGCCCTGCAGCTGCAAGATCTCGTGGAAGCCATGCTCGATGGCAATTAAGCTCAAGATCGCCTCAGAATGAACTCTCAAATGCTCTCCACCGCATGAACAAATGAACCAATGAACCCGATGTGTCTTGGCCCCTTCAATCCATCCCAAAATTCTTCATTAACATCTCGTTTAACCAAAGCAAGAGGAGACAAATGGAAGCACGGCTATAAGCGCCACAAACAGAAGGCTATGTCCAGGCGTCTATCGTCGATGTCATGAAGGCTGCACCGTCCATGTGTGGGAGCAGCTGCAAGGCCCACGGCACTGCTTCGCTCAAGTTGATGTGAAAGGGTGCATCAGCAAAAAAGGTAATTGTCAACGCAAACCTCAGGCGAGACAGGCGTTCTTGCGTTGGCAGCCATGCCGCAATGCCGCAATTCCGCAATGCCGCAATGCCCTCCCAGGGCGCAACAACTTGCCACCATGTGTCAGAGATTTGACTGCGCATGTGTACACAAAGATCTTGACACCTCGGCAAGGCAAGGTGAAACAAAGTGAAAACAGTGTGAAACAGTGTGAAAACGAGACGAGGTCTCAAGTTGACAAGGGCAAACCAGGTCTCCAAAACTCGACACCTCTATCCTGCCTCTATCTGTGCTAAAGCGGCCGATCCCTGTCGTCACCTCTAGGGGCCGGAAGAGGAAACGCTCGGGATCGCGGAAGATTAGCAACCTCGTTTCTGCTTTTGCACTGCATCAAACTGCACTTGAAGCCTGTTCTTTGACTGCATGAACGTGGTGGTCGCGAGATGTCTACAGATGTCTACTCTCTGCCAGCTGAGCACGCGCCACAACATGACCACACAACCACTCCCACGACGGGCCCTGTGACAGCTCCCTGCAATGTGCTCGTTGCCGTTAAACCCGCGCATCATCTGCCTCTACCTCGTCGTCATGCCCTGACCCCGTGCGGCCACGGTCGCTTCCTTTCCCGCCCCTTTGGATCGCGGAGACTGGCTCCGCTACAGATATGAAATTTTTCAAGGCCTTGGCCCACAAAGGGTTCGGGTTTCTCCCACATCGTACAAACATGGGCCACCAGGCTGGGGATTTCAGCCGGCACTTTTCGCATATGTTTGCACTGACATTTCATGGATCCTGGGGTATACAGTGTCGGCTATCACACTGCCAAGAGGCAGTAGTAGATAAAGTAATCCTAGCTCGCTGTGGCTGTCGCGATGCATCTTCATCCTGCACTGTCACCCCGAACTCAGGTGGACTCATTGGATCCGATCACGCCATCACCATCCACCACCCAGGTAACAAGGTCCACGCACGAAGACCACTAAGACCCTCGCAGAACTCGAGGATACCCTCAGTGTCCAATTCTCCGGCACTGTTGATCCGTCGTGGCGAGTATACTCTTTTTCCCACTCCACGAGGAACCGGACACACGTGCTGGCTATTCATGGGTGATGCACTACGACGACCCCTGCCAAGAAAATCACATGGCCCGTCGCCAGAGTCGCCAGACCTCTGGTGCCGACTGTCAGGAATGGCGCGGAGTGACCCTGCACACTGCGTTCAACACTTTCTGCACGCAGCAGATAGACCCAAGGCCTGCGGTGAGTTTAGCGACACGCTCATGTGAGCTTCAAGCTTAGACTGTGAAGGGCCATTGCAGGCGTGCATCAACACATATCTCCCTCGCAAACAGATGAGTTGGCAACTCGAGCTGAGTGTGCATGCAGTGTGCATGCCGTTTGCATACAGCCCGCGTGATGCGTGCATGATTTTGCTGAGTAACTTGGCATGCTCGCTCTCTGGCATGGTCAAGGACCGCCGCAGCAGAGGAATCTCCTGGCCTGAAGCCGCATGTCTACACGGTTTGCACGTGTAGGCACTATGTAGGCCATGTAGGCCATGGCCACAGAAGCTGCAGCACGGAAGAGAACGCCAAGCTACGGATCTGCCGCCGCACTCGCATGAGGCAGAGGCGACCAAAGTTGTAAAGCGCCCAAGCTTCATACAAGTCTGCCAGCTCCAAATTCGTGCCATAGCGCTCCTGGCATGGCACACAATGGCACAGGCACCACAGGCACGTGGCCGAGTCTTGACATCCATGCATCATCATGCATCCATGCTCACTCTCCTGCGTCAGGTGGCGGAGTTGATCTTTGGAGACATCTATGCCTTTGAAATCCCGGAAGACGCTTCCGGTCAGCAGCAGCAGCATTTGAATCACGCAGTCCAGCGCAAAGACACCATAAATCCTCAAAACTTCCAGGGCTCAATGTTCAGGGATGTTCAGGGCAACTAGAAGATCCAAAGAGTGACACCGAGGAAACTGAGAATCTGGCAGCGGCATGGTGGCAACTTGCATGGCTAGGTCATGCGAGTGCGAAGGGTACCAGCGCAGACTCTTGTCGAAAGTTCGTTCATTAGCAACGTGGTGTCGCCACAGATGGCGAAGTGTCACAAGAGAGGTCACAATCGTGACAGGCGGGCAGGCGAGCGCCATCCATCGCAATGGGCTGAAGATCGCTCCTTCTTCTCGCCGCACGCCACATCGGAAACTTGACGGATCAAGCCAGTTGCTTGCCTGTCAAGAAATGAATCCTTTGCAGACACTTCACGGTCATGCAACTCATGTGCAGAGCCTGCATCAAGTGCCATACACGTACAAGAGATTCACAGAGAAGGAAGACGAAGACGGAGTGGAATAAGACATACCTCCGAGCAATCGGCAAGTTTAGTTGCATGTTGTTGCCCTCGCGCTTGCCCTTAACGACAACCCTTGTAGTTCCCACACATCAAAGTGTAGATAGTGACTCATCATGGTGGTGGGATGGTCAGCTCGGGCAGCTGTAATTGTTTGTGCGCAGTCAAGTCTCAACATGCTTATGCGACTTATGCGACTTATGCGCATTTCTGCATTCTGAGGTGCGGCTGGATCAATAGCGGCAAGGGTGGTGGCAAGCGAGAATGGATAAATCGCTGCGCAGAACGCGTGTTGCATAGCCTTCACCGGTGCCAGGCAATTGCAGCATACTAAGCGCGAAGCCTACAGCATCCTGCAGCCCCACCTTCGATGAACATGGTGAGCTGCAAACACCAAGACTAAGCGGGCTCTCATCACTCCTGGAGCCAAAACTGCCGTGCCTGGCTGAGACACGAGAAGCTCACAAGATGCAAACAGCAACAGATAGCAACAGCGTCATGCTGTGCTGAGACCAGGGCCATTATGGGCCATTCAGGAAGGCGAACGGAGGCCTCATCCCAACAACAAAAAAGAAGCCAGCTGTTCTCTGTCACTAAACTGTTCACTGTCATTCACTGTCAGTGTGTGCTGTGTCTTTCTCTCGCTGTAGGAACACAACGCTACCCGCACTGGCTCTAGTTTCGGTCTTCCTTTTTGTTTGCAGAGGGGGATGGGTTGCCCCCCACGCGCACAACGCGGTTCGCAGTCTAGCACCTGGAGATTTGAACGAAAACAGGGCCCGGCCTGCAGTGTCAAAATTGCAGAACGAAACATATTTCGTCCTTTCGTCCCTTCGAGTTCAAGTTCTTGGGCATGCCCGAATAAGCACAACAGAAGAAGGTCTATTATGGCGTAGTATGAGTTGCTGTACGTGTTTGGACATGTCTTGTTCCACGTTAAGCATCCTTGCGCAGTATGTTATATAATTTTACCCTCGTCGACTTTTTCCTGGACATAGGTGCTGGACATAGGTGGCATCTCAAGCTACAAAGCCAAACAAGCTGGGATGGGCTGCGCCCGTTTCGGGTGTCATTGATCCCGCGGCACCCATAAGCGAAGCGGCCCAAAGGGCGAAGCACCTACACATACCAACAGGCGAAGATGACAATGACAAACACGAGCACGCACTATCGGCCGTTAGGTCCAGCGGTTGTCCCGATAGACGTGCAGAGCGTGCCACAATACTCAATGTGACCCGGAAAAACCATGCAAGTGTGTCCAGGGTATGGGTTTCCCAAGTGGCCTTGCCACGAGCCGCCGCCTCGATTCGGAGCCGCAGAACCATTGGTCGCATTCGGTCGCTGGGCATTGGGCATGTGTCGTTTTCCGGGGGAAGAAAACAGAGCTTCGTTTTTGTCCCATGTCACCAAGCGGGTTCTTCCTGTTAGCCAGGTCTCTGCCGCCTTTCTCTGTTCATCTGCTATGTTTGCCACTAGTAATGCTTGCAAATGTTTGCAAGTGTTTGCAAGTGTTTGCTAATGTTTGCTAATGTTTGCTACATCGGGTCGAAGGGCTGGAATGATCGCTCTTTGCGACTGTGCTGTGTTTGTGCTGCTACGTTGGCCTGCGACAGCCCGGACAGCTTGAGCAGCTTGAGAGGGCAAAGTATCAAGAGCACATAAGAGCACTTAGAAGGCCTCTTTCGCTTTTTGCTCACGCATAGCCTGCAGCGTGCATTTCATTGCATCTCTGAGCGTCTCTATGTATACCCCCACTTGGAGAACGCGGCGACGGCCAACATCACACACAATGACCTCAGCTGTTCGACAAGGAGGCTTCGCAAGGCAGAAGGCTAGGCCGAGATACTGCCAGGCAAAGTGACTCAGCATGCCGATCAGAAAGTACCTCATTTGGCTCATCTTAGAAAAGACGAAAAGACAGGCTTGGTCATCTGAAGGCGGGGTACTTGTATCCGTCGTTGCGGAAGGAGTCCATCTCTGCCGTAGCATCTTCCACCCAGTAGAAGAAGACAGGATGCCGCGCCTACAAGACCCAAAGCAGGGCAACAAACAGAGCCAGAAGATGCAAAAGTGCTCCAAAAGTGGTCCAAAGAATGGACATTGGGCCTTGAGGCTGTAGGCGGCCTCTGCCTGTGACTTCTCAAGCGCAGGACATCGAAAGAGCTCACGCTGCAATGTAATTGCAATATAATTCTGTACCAGTGATATTGACAGACATCCGACGTCGAGAGTTAAACTCATGCTTAAACAACATGCTAACAGCGCAGCGCCTGCTCCACAGCCAGCCGGTAGAAGCTGCGTTGCCTTTCGTCCAGCAACCGGAGGCCACTGTGAGCCAAAGGATTCCGCACCTCACCTGCAAGCAGCTGCACGCACCCAGCACGCCAAGCACACGAAGAGAAGAAAGCTGAACAATGCGCGGAGGGGTCACTTCTACAAGTGCTCCACTGCGCCAGAAATCAAGCCCTGAGTGCAAAAACGCTCTTCCTGTCTGGACAAGTCCGAAAAACCAAGCAACAAACCAGTTAGAGCGACCGCTTATAGGTGCATGCCAGTGTATGGCACCACCCCTTACTCTAGCATATCCATCTTAAGATCTCAACCCTAACACCCCACCCCAACCGAAACATCTCAACACCTGTCATGAAACATGCGTATCCAATCCTTAAGTGCCATACACCTAAAAAGGCAGGGGTTTAACTCTAACTCTAAAACAAGACATAATAGATAGACACTTTTGGATTTTGAGTCTATCATAGCTACCCTGTGTAGCAAGGCAATAGCGTAGAGCAGAAGAACACCATAGCGCCTGCTAACTTGCTGCAGCTGCTACTGGTAGCGCTGCTTGTTGCTCTTCGACATCTGCTCGCAGCGATTGCGGGGCGCTCGTTGCCATCAGAGAGCACAAACGACTGTGACCACGCAAATCCGCAAGTGCCTGAGCTTGCAAGGGCGTTACGCCACCAGGCCCGTTCGGCCCAGCAGGAGTCTTAGCTTGGAGGCGCCGACACCTCACCCGCCGGACAGGCGGGGACTGCGAGAAGGAAGAGATTCCGCCTGAAGCTCGGCGCTTCAGGAGCCAAGCAACAAGCGCTATGGCGGTTTCCTGCAAGAGCTTAAACGGCGAGGTGTCATTTTGGTTGCACCGTCGGGTCGAAGGGTCAGCGGGACAGTGGGAATGTCGATCTCTTGCCTATTCGGCTCGGCCACCTGAAGGCCCACGCCAACGCTGTTGCGAGTTCCGTGTCGTGGACGCCTATTTGCGACGGTCGTATCACCGTAGGTACGACTCCGGTCGGGCTGGCGCCTCCTTATCGCCAGGGCGCCGCGCGGACCCGTACATCGAACAGCACGTCAGCTTTTCGAATAATTTCTGATGAAGGTCAGATTGTGTCAGCCGCGGATTTTACAGACCCAGCCACAGGCCGACGACGGCCTGTTTCAAATCCAAAAAGATGAAGTCTTGAAAACCACACGCCGAAACGGCTTGCCGGGTATGAGGCAAACTTCCGTTTGTTTCCCCAAGATTGCCTTTGTTGTGGCTTGCAAAATGATACGATCAAACTTCACACCTGGTGAAGTCAAGGGACGCGTCTTTCCGCGCTATTTACAAACAGGTCAGGGTCTCAGTCCTGGCGCACGATGCGCCGGCTACACACTTCCGGGTAAACGCAAGGAGGAGACCGAGGCAGGCGACAAGGCTCGCGCGAACAACGGTCGCACGCTATCAAAGGTCGGCGCACCAAGTCGCGGACGGTGTCCTGCGAAGCTCAACGAGTCGACAAGGCCACGACACGCTCAGTCGTTAGACGGGAACGGCTCTCCAAGACAGCGAGTGCCGCCGGCATGCGACAAGTAGGGATCGCAGTCAAGAGTTGAGGGTTTTCGGGTTTAGGATTCGGGCTTGAGGGTTTGGGTTTACGGTTTAGCTTTCGGGACCGAAACCATGAACTCAGGAGGGACTGCTCGGCAGATAGGCTAGCACTCGAGTGCGGCCGCGTGGTTTTGAGCCCTAGAGATTCATGACAGGTGCTATAGTGGCTCTGACAGGACGCTGAGGTATGAAACACAACGCGGCTGAACAAAAAGGACCTCCCGGCGCGGGCGAGTCTCGCAGGGGCGCACAATTGCGACACGAATTCCTTCTTTCACGGTCGGGTTTGGGGATGGCCCATTGCTTGTTGCAAGGTAGAAAACACTGGCAGCGCGCACGGATTTGCATAATTGACAGCCGTGCTCGCAACACAGCGCGGGCAAGCGAAGGGTACTGACCGCTTAGGGCTTAGGGCTTAGGACTTCGGCTTAGGCATCCGGCTTTTTTGGGTTTAGCGAAAGGGACTCAGGAAATGGGCGCCTTTTTGGGAATAAGGGGGCTTTTCCTAAGGAATTACGGACGACCCACCGTATGGTTTACGCAATAAAGCCGAGGGATCCCGCTTTTTAGGTTTATCAAAAAGGGTTTAGGAAATAGGATTTTGAATCTTGGGATTTAGGGGCTCTCCTCTTTAGGATTTACGGATGCCGCTCTTAACGACTTAGGGAAAAGGAGTAAGGAATTTGAATCAAGGGAACAAGATTCAGGGATCTCGCCTTTGGGATTTAGCGACAAGATTTAGGGAATGGGGTCAGTTTGCTTTTTTCGCAATTAATGGCTCCCCTTTTGCGGATTTAAGGAACCCTCTTTAGGGCATAGGGAACACGACTTAGGGAATAAGAAACCGGGAACAACATTTAAGGATCCCACTCCTTAAAGGGCATAGGGTTTTAGGTTGGGACTAAGATTGAACTTGAACGTCATCAAACTTCAAGTCTTTCTTTGTCTGTTTGCTTTCGCTCTCTGTGGGCATAGTAGCTCCGCACTTTGTGAGGGCCATGGCTGGGAATGATGATTTGAGGGCTACGGCACCGTGGTGCCGCAATCATCCCGACCTCCCGGGAGGGATGGTTTGCAAGAGCACATGCATTCGTGGTTTGGGTTGTGTGGATATGGCAGCGGGAAGGGCGTGTGCTTGTATACACCCAGCAGAAGGCGCGCAGCCTGCGTCGACCACCACTCAAGGTGAGATATTGCAAGGTAGCGCAACCTCCGGACGGGAGTCCAGGACCAGAGGCCAACACCATCCTGCGTCAGGACACCTTGGGCGACGACCGTCAGGCTAGAGACCAAGGTGGGACAGGGGTTTGGGGGGCATGGACTGGCGAGATTGCTGGAGTTGAGGGGTTTATGACCCCACGTTCACAGAGTTTGCCCATCTCCGAAATGGTTGAAGGCATTCCTGGTGTTTTCACGTCTCGTCTTTACCACTTTTGCGGAGGGAATCCCCATTACTCAACGCCGAATTGCTGCAACGCACGCAAGCGCTTGAGCCAAGGGCCGAACGCCCCAGGTTGCCAGGCAGCTTGCAGGATTTGAGGCTAGAGCCCAGGCGCAGGAGATGGAGAATCAGAGGTTGAGTTCATGCGGGAAGTAAGCACAGACCTCAAGTAGCATGAGCCCTTGGCTCAGTCAGTCAGCTTCCACAACTATCAGGTACCCAGAGACCTCTTCTGGCCCAAACTGCCACGCGTCACGTGCCAGGTTTAGTTGTGGGCGCATTGGTTTTAAAAGGCTTGCAGCTTGCAAGCTCAGCAGCTCAAGGTGAAAGGTGATGATGCCCCAGCAGTGAAACCAGGCATCACAACGCTACCCAAACTTGTTGCCCACCCCGTCAGGTGGTTCTGTGGAGTTCCAGGATTGGCTTAAGTTGGTCGGCGGATTGATGACAGACCTGTCTGATTCATCGCAACTACGGTGGACCAGCGTGTTGAAGCTGTCGCGTGACGCCTTTGCCCGTTCGAGCGTCTCGTCCCCGGAGCGGTTGAGAGTAACCCCGGATGAGAGGTCAGAGATTGTTGAGGGCAAGTGGTCACGCGTTAACGCTTGGGCGTGCGCCATGTTGTTAGAAGCGTTGGACGCGTCCGTGAAACCAGACATTATAGCACGCAGGGCAACGCAAAAAGCATTTATTGATTTAGTGCGGATGAGACATTTCTCACCCTTGTCAGGCTGCTCATGAGGAATGAAAGCAATGCAGAGCAGCTCATGAGGAACGATATATATATATATGTACATTTTTATATATACAGAGAAACATATGCATATAGGAGTTTTTTTTCAATGCGCAAGCCGCGGGTCGGCGGCCGTCAGCACCGACGCTTTTCAGAGTAGTACGTAGGAAAGCGAAAGAAAGAACTCTAAACAGACAGCTCTGAATGGAAATTATGGCTTATGTATGAGTACGCGCCATCGGTCCCTTTGTTGTGACAAGGGGAGAAGGGTGCGATATAGCTGGGTGTTATCCAGGTATACCAAGGAGGAGCCGCCATGCGCTCTAATGATGTCAGTCTGCGTAGGTATCCCAAAGAAGGAGTGGCCAAGATCAAGATGGGAGGGGGGAGCGTCTGACTCTACGTATTCCGAGCGAAGCTTTGCTTCCGTAAGGCAGGATGCTGCCCAATGCGTCCTGGGACGTCCAGGTCTATTACTCCCGAAGGTGCGCCTATAGGAGTGGGAGTGGGCAAACGTAGATTGCGCTTCCAAGGAAGCGGAGTGACGAAGGAGATGCCCCAATAGCTTCAATCGATTCTGGGAGTACAATCGAGAGGGAGGAATAGTCTTCGAAGTACGGAAAGCTAGATCATGTAAATACTGGTTGGAGCAGTGCGCTTCCGAAGGTTCTAGTACTCTGTGGTAGAAGGACGATTTAACTTTGAAAATACGACGTAAAGTTTTATAGTGAATAGAATCAAGATGAATCAGTTGAGAAGGAGACAATGTAGCACTTTCCATTGCATATAGTAAAATAGACTGTATGACTGTTTTGTAGACTCTTAACTTCCAGGAGGGTGGGAGGGCACTGTGTCCCGTAAGAGGGCGGAGGGACTTAGAAGCCGCAATTGCCTGGGAGATGCGATATCGTAAGTGCTTGTTATTCGAGGACGTTGTATCTATGTAGGCTCCAAGGTATTTGACCTCATTAGAGAGGGAGACTGGTCTTAGGGATGAAAGAGAACCTTGGCAATACAGGCAATCACAGGGATATATATATATATATATATATATGTACATATATATATATACAGAGAAACATATGCATATAGGAGTATTTTGTACAAACGCTTGTTGGAGAAAGGTTGAAGCAACATGGAGGTTGGACGAGTTCAATTGTCTTTCAAGGGGCCTTTTAAATTCCTTGAAAGCCTTGCTTTAAGGCCTTTTACATTCCTTAAAATCCTTAAATTTTCAAAGTTTGAAGGTTTTCAGGATTTAAGGCCTTCTAAATTCTTGAAAAAACTCAGACGCCAAAAGCACCCTCACAATCTTGAAAGCCAGAGGCCTTTCAAAATTTAAAGGAGCTTAAGGATTTTCAGGCCTTTTAAATTCCTTAAGATCCTTCAAAACACTCAAAATTTTTGAAAGCCAGATGCCGTTCAAAATTTTACTGTTGTTTCAGAATCTTACGGCCGTTGAAATTCCTTTAAACCCTCAAAATGCTTGAAGCCTGTAAATGTTGAAAGCCAAAGGCCTTTCAAAATTTTAGGGAAGAAGTTTCAGGTGCACCTCCAAACGGGCCTGGAAAAAGCCAGAAACAAGCAGATTAATGCCAGTGATCTCGCGCGCCACCAACTAACAAATAAGTTTGCACGCATAGAACGCAGGAAGGCCATCCCTTTGTCTAAAGCCATACCATACTGAATGGGGGGGCTATTAGACAATCATAAAGGGCAGCTACTGGAACAACCGACGAAATGTTTATGCTCAAGGCGTCATCCTGATTTTGAATTGGGGGCCTGTTGTGTCCATTGACTGAAAATCAAACATGGCATGTAACTTCTAAAACTGATGTCATTTTTTGCGAATTGAATTTTCTAGGATTTTGCTCTTAATCTCCCTAAACAAGTTCGACCATGAAATGGCCGGGAAGATCGGAAGAGAATCCTGGACAGCTTGCCCGCTCTTCCTACATATTTAGCCCTAGCTCTAAGAAGCTAGAGTAGTTACGTTATGTTGAGTTGCAGATTGGGGGAAGGTATCTCTGATGGGGCGTAGACTGAACGCATGCAATTTCATTTAAGCTTGAGACTGTTTCTATAGTAGCCCAAAGAATGTAAACAAGATATTCAACAAGCATGGACTGGGCATTGCATTCCGGCATCTGGCGCACCGCAATGAAAGTCAGCCGCGTTCACGGAGCAGCAGTCCATGCCAATGGCCCAGAAGTCGTAGACTTCCAGTGGAAGCACCACGCCATCTTGCAAAAGAATTGAAGAGAGCAGTTTGTGTGTGTGTGTGTGTACATTTTGGGGTTAGAGAATTCGGGTCAGAATTCGAGAGAGTTGGGAGGTGGCGAGTTGGCTGCCTTGCTGCACCGACACCGGGGCAACACAGTAGGTGTCCACATTCTTGAAGGCCATGGACCGCCTCTGTACTCCAAAAGCTCATTTGATTCTTGGGAAAGGATGTCTCACATTTCTCGCAACTCGTGGTGTTCTGTCATGTTCTGTCATGCTCTGTCATCAGTCTGTCATGCTCTGTCCTCACATCCACGGTGGAGGCCGCGCCAAAGTGCACGCGGCCGACGGACAGAGCCGCCTCCCCGTCCCACTGTGCTGGGCTCACCTGTCGCTGCCGTTTTGCCCTGGGGCTTTTTCCAAAAAATAAAGACGAGCATCACATTCTTTGACAATACCGGAACGAACTGCATACAGACAAGTTCACATATGTAGAGAGAAAGCCACATTTTCTTGCTCAAGCGAATGACCGAAATGCTAACGAACCTCTGGGAGCACGTCCATGTTCACATACTGCGAGAACCTGGCTGTAGTTTAGTTTTGAACTGGCGCCGGAAACATTCCGAAGGAGTTCCCCAAGGCTGCAAAGAGCTTGGGGTTATTGGGGCCCCGTGCGGCTCCGTGGTGGCCGCATAATTCAGATTTCCGAAAACCACCTCGCGTTCTCTCTCTCTCTCTCGCTGTCTCTCTCTCTCTCTCTTAAGCGTTGTGTTGTGTTCGAGGGCGGGACGCCCAACAGCCAAGCCACCAGCAGAGTGACCTTTGTGGGGCAAAAGCATGTGCAACGTAGCACAACAGTATTGAACTCAGTGTTGAGACTTAACATTCCAAGCCACCGCCA